GGGTTTGCAGCTTAACCCCAATTCCAGCCCCCATCTGGTTAGAGGAGCCATCCACATAAAGTTTCCAAGAGCCGCACCTGAGGTCTTCTTCCGTATCTTCAGAGTCACATTCTAGCAGGAAATCGGCTACCGCTTGTCCTTTGACAACTGTTCTCGGCTCATATGTTATGTCAAATGAACTTAACTCTATGGCCCACTTTGTCATTCTGCCCGAGAGTTCTGGTTTGTGCATAAGCACTCTGATTGGAAAAGTTGTTAGAACAGCTATAGGGTAGGATTCGAAATAATGCCTCAACTTTCTTTTTGCGTTTACCAGTGCAAGTATCACCCGTTCGGCCTTCGAGTATTTTCGTTCTGCCTCGGTCATTGTTTTACTGACATAAAATACCGGGTGTTGCACGCCTTCCTTGCAACGAATCAGAACGGCACTTGTCGCAACACTAGATACTCCAAGATACAAAAATAACTTTTCTTCTGGATCCGGGGCTGACAGGACTGGTGGGTTCTGCATATATTCCTTCAGATGGGTCAATGCTTGTCGTTGCTCATCTCCCCAGACCTGTCTTCCATGACTCCGAATCTTGTCAAAGAACGGCTTGCAGCGGTCTGACAATTTTGAAATGAATCGACTTAATGCAGCTATTCGTCCTGTGAGGGCTTGCACCTCTCTGATCGTCTTTGGTTCGACATTCTTAATCAAAGCCTCTGCTTGAGCGGGGCTAATTTCGATGCCTCTGCGGTTGACCACGTGTCCCAAAAACTGACCGGAACTCACACTGAACGAGCATTTGGTTGGATTGAGCCTCATCCCATATCGCCTCAGCACATCAAATATATCTTGCAAATGTTTCAGATGATCATTCTTCTTCCTACTCTTTACCACCATATCATCAATATAGGTTTCCACAATCTTTCCTATTTGATCCTTGAAAATTTTGCTAACAAGTCTTTGATAAGTTGCTCCCGCGTTCTTTAGTCCGAAAGGCATAACTTTGTAGCAGTATGTCCCTCGCTCGGTTACAAAAGAAGTTTTTTCTTCATCTGCCGGGTCCATAGGGATCTGATTATAACCTGAATAAGCGTCCAGAAAGGTTAAGCGTTCATACCCGGTGGTAGCATCCACCATTTGATCAATCTTTGGTAGCGGGAAGCTATCCTTCGGACAGGCTTTGTTCAAATTGGTGAAATCAATGTATACTCGCCATTTCCCATTCTTCTTCTGCACGACAACGACGTTGGACAACCAATCAGGGTAGTGTACTTCTCTGATAAATCCCGCATCAAGCAGCCTATCAACTTCCTCGGCTATGATTTGGTTGCGTTCTGGAGCAAATCTTCGTTGCTTCTGTTTTACTGGTTTGAAATTGGGATTGACATTCAAAGAATGACAGGATACAGAGGGATTAATTCCAGGCATGTCTAGGTGACTCCATGCAAATACATCGGCATTGTGAGACAAGAAGTCAGCTAGCTCTTGCCGCTCTTCCCTGGTCAGTCTTATTCCTACTCTGGTAGTTCATTCTGGCCTGGACTGATCGATCTGCACATCCAGAAGGGGCTCTTCGGTCAAGTCAACTGACCCCTCCACCCTGTTCTGCTTGGGCGGAGGTTCCTGTAATTGCTATCTGGGGCTTGCCGGTTGGATGGGCGCCTTCCCTTTCCCAGCATACTTTAGTGTGACGGAATAGCACTCTTTGGCTGCAACCTGATCCCCACGAATGTCTATTACCTTATTTCCATCGGGTCCGAGGCACCTCATAACCTGATGCAAAGTTGAGGGTACTCCTTGGACTCTGTGAATCCATCCTCTTCCCATCAGGAGATTGTACGAGGGGTGAATCTCTACAACCACAAAAGTTTCCATGAGAGTTCGTTCTGCAGCTTGAACTTCTACTTCCACCATTCCAACGGGCTCCACCCTCTTGCCATAGAATCCTAACAAGGGATTTCCAGTGGGCTTGAGCCTCTCTGGTTTAATCTCGAGCCGATCAAATGTGTCCCTCGGCATGACATTCGCACTGCTCCCGGGATCGATCAGAACTCTGCGCACCAAGCAGTCCGCCACTGTCAAACTGACTACCAACGGGTCTTCATGGGGGATTTGAACACGCTGCAGGTCTATCCTGTCGAACTTTATCTGTATCGATGTGATCTGCTGGTGTAGAGTATTCACACTGCTGACCCTTTTCTTCATCTGCGCCTGCCGTAGGCGCGCTCGGAGCAGCTCATCTGAATCTTCGCTGGGCTCGGGTCGACCGTGGATAGCATTGATTATACGGACTGGTTGTGAATTGTGGGAGCTTTGTTTATGACTCCTTTTTACTTGTTCCATCGGTCGATTCTGCTCTGTCGCCGAGCCTTGAACATAACTCGCGAACTCCCCTCTAGCTATCAACATCTCCACTTGCCTTCTCAAATTCCTGCATTCATTAGTCTGATGACCGAAATCGGAATGGAAAGCACAATGTTTAGTCTGATCCCTCTGTTCGAGGGGTTGCCTAATTGGCAGTGGTGGATGAAACTTATCTTTGTTCTCCTGATATAGCCTCGCCAGAGTGACCTTCAGCGGAGTGATCAGCTCTTCCTCCCTGGACCTCTTTTCTGCCTTCCAGGAGGTCTGACGCTGCGGCTGAGCCTGCTTCTGCCTGATCTTTGCCTTGGACTTCTCCTCGGTCGACACGAGCGACGCTGTCCGAGCATTGGCTGCCTCCTCTTCTTCTAGGCGCACAAAGCCGTCGGCTCTTTCATTGAGTTCATCCATAGTCGTCGGCGTGTTCACTACCAGACTGGTATGGAACGGAGTGCCACGTGTCATGGCTAACTTGAAGGCTTGAACCGCTGTAGAAGGGTGGCATTCGATCACCATACTCTTAGTGAATTAAACCTGGTGAGAAAAGCCTGGAGACGTTCATCTTTGTGCTGTCTCATTGTGAATAGGCTTGAGATGTCCTTTGGCGGACGCTTGTTCCCATAGTACTGACTTATGAACCGATCGCACAGATCTCGGAAGCTACCAATGGAGCTCTTAGGTAAGTTCTTGAACCAGCTGAGCGCCGGTCCAGCTAGGCTTGTAGGGAAACATTTGCACATTAAAGCATCGTTTTCCGTATTCAGGGCCATCTTCAACTGGATATGGTACACATGATCGATCGGATCGGTTGTTCCGTCAAACAGAATAAATACTGGCATAGCAAACTTCCTTGGATGAGGGGCATTCAGGATCTCGTCAGTGAATGGTGAATCAACCGTTCGAGCTGCGGATCGAAGCGCTTCATTCTCTCTTTGGCGCCCAGTGGTAGCTCTGTGTGCTACGGTTCTGCTCTCCGAACCGCAATGAGTGATTGTAGCCATGGAGGGCCGGTAGGACGGATCGAACGACCGTTCCTCTATGAGCTCTCTTTGCCAAGGCGACGCAACTTGGCGGCGATCAATCTCTATCACCTCCTCTCGGTTGAACCTTTCCCGATGCGGATCTAAGGTCATGGCTTCATTCTGTCTGATCTGCTCATGTCGCGGATCAACGTAAATCGATCCTTCGTGATCCTCAACTCGACGAGCATTTGGCGGCAAATCACGGTGGAGAGCTGACTGACTGTTCTCGTCTTGCTCGCCTTGATGCGCAATATTAGATTGAACACCTCCTTCTCCGGTCGGAGGTGGACGCGAAACCGCGGGCATTTGCTGATGTTGCATTCCAGCTTTCAATTCTGCATTCTCTTTTTTGAGAGCCTCGATCAAGTTCATCAACTCCTCAAGCTTTGTTTGCTGGACAGCCTCCATCGGATTGGAGCTTTCACCTATCATTATTCCTGAACGGAGTAAAGGCATTAATCTCAAGTTCGCGAGTAGATCCGAGCTTCGTGAGTGGGAATTTTTTAGATCTGGTTTCGAATTCTCCGAATTATGCTCACGGTTGACGAGATCTGAGTTGTCCGAATTCTAAATCCGTCAGATCCTGCCACAATCGAACAACTCGTTGTTGCGTAGATCTGAAGCCACTCCTGCCAAAGCTTCAGGAACTAAAATTCCTCCAGAGTAGGTCACAATCGCTCAGATCTGGATCCAACTCCCAAAGATCGAGTCTCGATCACCCGAATTGGTCTGAATCCACGCGATATTACTCATTGATCAACCAATCTTCCATGCCTTCCCACAGACGGCGCCAATTGAAGATACAAGAAATTCCTTCCCTCTTTCTCTCTCTAGAATTCCTGTATTTCAACCAAAAATATCCTCCCTTTCTTTCCATTACTTCTCCTATTTATAGATATTTACAAATGTTGATGGACTGCTGGATCTAGGCCCGTTCCTCCATGAGTCCTGGTCACCTTTGATAGGCTTATGCGCGTTCGGCCCATATGGCAGTGTCTTTCTATGGGCTTGACCCATCTGTACGGACTGAATGTCGCGTTTGCAAGTCATATCCGGCCCATGTCATCTCGGGCCTCCTCAACAAGTAATGCATATATAGGCCAAACATGCCGAACTAAGACATATGCGAATGATCGTCGGATCCAAATATGGTCAACAATTTTTTAAAAAGAGTCATATTACTAAAGTTGACTAAGTGAACAACTTAACTTTGTAAAATAATTAATTACCCAACACATTTATGTGAAAAGATAAGAAGTGTATTGGATATATAGAAGTTCTAGCCATAATATTTGTACTTTGTAGTATTCGAGTCAATGCGGTTAAAAACTTAGGGTAATGATTTGGACTTGGATAGTTAAAATTATTGAATTGATATGTATGAGTTAGAAGTAAAGTTATTATGATGTTATTCATTACAGTAATATTAGTTCCTATTTATATAAAATTAGTTCCATTTATAAAACTGTACGATTATACAGTTACTCTGAAAATTAACCCCTACCTTCCACACTTTCAAATTAAACTAATGTTTTTAAAAAATTGCAATAATTGTCATATTAAGCAAGTGTTATTTTCTTTCTTTTTCTGTCCACATCAAACCGCCTTCCCACCCTTTTTATATCCCTTCTTTTTTTCCTCTTCCATCGGCTTAAAAACCCCAATTCTCTATCTCATTTACATTCCACAAACACACCTCTCCAAAGTAACTCCTCACATTTCTTTCCACTCCTATTCCTCTCTCCCCTACAACTACCCTTCCATTCCCCATGACAGGAAAAAGAGCCCGAACCAGCCCGTTTGGAAGCCCCTCCTCCGGGAACTTCTCCGACGGCAGCTCCTCCAAAGACCAAGAACGTCTCCTCCCCATCGCCAACGTGAGCCGGATCATGAAAAAATCCCTCCCGCCCAACGCAAAAATATCGAAAGAAGCCAAAGAAACCGTCCAAGAATGCGCGTCCGAGTTCATAAGCTTCGTCACTGGAGAAGCTTCCGATAAGTGTCAGAGAGAAAAGAGGAAGACGGTGAACGGTGATGACCTCCTGTGGGCTATGACAACACTTGGGTTCGAGAATTATGTTGGACACTTGAAGGTGTACCTCAACAAGTACAGGGAGAGTGAGGGAGAGAAGAACTCCATGGCTAGACAAGAAGAGCTTTCACCTACAAACAGCGGTACAATTTATAGCACCAATATTGTTATTAACAATGGTGTTAATGATGAAATTGGCAAAGTCACAAGTTCTTCTATGTTGACTAGGCCAGATTTTAATCAGAGTATCAACCGTGGGTACAATTCAGTTGGAGCACAAGTGATGAGTACTCCAAAGAGCTTTGGAGATGGTGGAAGGGTCATTGGCCATGGAGAGAATTTGGTGCATGACTGGTACTAATTGCAACTCATCTTCATCATGGAGTTGAGTGGTAGATCGACAATTAAGATTTTAATTTCATGTCATTTTAATTTTGTTGATTTTTTTTTTTTTTTTTTTTTTTTTTTTTTTTTTTTTTTTTTTTTTGACCTTTTACTATATATCTAAGCATACCTACATATTATATATATAACAGTAACTGGAGATCTTAATTTTGAAATATATATATATATTTTCTCCGTGATTGTATGTTGATGTCTCACTTGGAATGGAACAATTAGTTATTCAAGCAATCTTGCCTATATATATAATTGGCTTGAATGCTATGATGGGATTTCTGATTATATTATTTTTATCCATCCATCTTAATAATATGTTATGCTACTTACCAATAATAGGCTATGAGCTTTCCCTCCTTGAAGGAGAATATATTGGGTGAGCAAGGTCTCCAAAAAAAAAAGGATTGAGTATTCGAAACTCCATGGAAGTAAAATATAGGAGTGTTTGTTTTAGGGTTGGAAAAAGGCAAAAAAACCCTTTTCATTAATCATGTACTTCAGGCACACTGAACATGCCAGTTGTTCTGCTTAAAAAGAAAGTAATTAAATGTGTTTCAATTCCAAAATGATGAAGAAAGGCGCACATACCATATAAAAAAATTGACAATGATATGTGCTTTCTAAGTGGGATGCATTTGGTGCTTTCTAAGTGGGATGCATTTGGTGCAAAAAAATTTATATCTTTTGTGGCATATCATAAACATTACGAGGTCAAACTTGAATAAAGGTTCTTCATATATGTGAGTACTATTTCCATGTTCATCTTTTTTTTTTTTTTTTTAATTCGACATAGTTACACTCGGTAGTGCTTGTCAGTATCAATGATTCCACGAGCCTGCTTTATCAATTTGAAAATTACCGACTTCCCCAAGCTTACTACAACTTTGCAACAGATTTTGATCTACTTCAATCAGTCAATATAGTCAAATACATATTTTTTGGACTATGATTTATTTTTATGTCACATACATAATTTTTTTCTCTTTCTTTTTTACCTTATCTGACACCACAATATTAGATTTAAAAAGTGAGACAGAACTTGCAAGCACACATATACACCCATACTCCAATAGTCACATGCTATATCCATGTGCTCTCTACTTGTATTCATTTCATGTGAAAACACAGGTAACATGTTCAAAGCAGTACCATTCACCTATCTGTTTCCAGATTGATACCATATCAAAATGGTTTCCATTTTCTTTACCAGAAAAGATACATCAGTCCAGCATTTAACATATTGCAGCACAAGAACATTCTGATAACAATGAGGTCAGGAGGAAAATGGTCTAAATGATACAGTAACAAAGAGGTTAAAGAGAACTTGAGAATTTTCTGTAAAATACAAATACATTAGTCATATCTCACACATACCATAAAACATCAAAGTTAAGGTTACAGATTAAAGGGGTGTGTTAGACACAAACTTTTCCATGTTTGAGTCTCTTGATGCCCATGGCACACTGCACAAACTTTTGAAAATTACAGCATCATCAAGAATGCTACAGTGCTTAATCTGGACTACAATTCATATGCACATATTGTGACGAATGCTATAAAATACATGATGGGCTAACAAAAGGGGGGTAAAAAAAGGTAATAAAACAAGAAAAAGGGAGGAAAAAAAAAAAGAAGTAAAGGAAAATAATTTCATTCTTTGCTTATTCTTTAGGTCATCTTGGACCAGACAATTCGACAGCATGAAGATTTTCAGTGGAGTCGAGAATCCATTCAGAATTCCGATGTGGGGCGAGTTCAATATCATTTGGGACATCCACCTTCTGCCATTCCTCCCATCTTTCTGCCAAACCATCACCTTCCAACATTCTGACAACCTCCGACATCTTAGGCCGTTCCATTGGATAGCCTTGTGTGCAGAGTAGTGCCACTTGTATCAGCTGCTCTACTTCAGCTTCCACATAATTGGTCTGCAGATCAGGATCAACTAGCATGTCCAACTTCTTCTCTTTCAGAAGGCTTTTAACCTGGCATATTGCGAAGCCATTGGTCAAATAAATACTATTAGAGCAGATATTGCAAAGACATTAGTCAAATAAATAGTATTAGAGCAGATATGTTCCGACAGAACTGATGGACTTTTTCAATTTGCAAACTAGCTAAACATGAATACGAGCAATGAGCCCCAAATGCTTGCTGCTAAAAACATCTACCATAAGGTAATATGCAATCCAACATATATAAGATATTGCAAGGTACCCCAGAATTTCTGTAAACCTAGAAAAAGGAGAGAATACTACTGTACAAAACAGGCTATGATTTCATAGCTTCCAAAGATTATGTTGCTTCGTGATGTAAATCTAAGCAGCTTCTTAGACATGAATAAGACAGGAAAATAATGAATTCATACCCAATCTAGCAGCATAACATCGTCGTCATTTGCAAGCCGAGCAAGATCAAATGCCCTCTGTCCAGTTATTAGCTCTAAAAGCATAATCCCATAACCAAAAACATCAGTCTTCTCTGATGACTTCCCTGTAGAGAGATACTCAGGGGCTATGTGCCCAATGGTGCCACGTACAGCAGTTGTAACATGGGTATCCTTGTAGTCCATTAGTTTAGCCAACCCAAAGTCACCTACCACAGCCTCAAACTCTTCATCCAACAAAATATTTGCGGCCTTTACATCACGATGAATAATCTTTGGGTCACAATGATCATGCAAATAAGAGAGCCCTCTAGCAGATCCCAATGCAATTCTCTTCCTAGTTGGCCAATCAAGTGGTGGTTCTGAAGGTGGGCGCTCTACAAGAATTTATCAAAATGAATATGTGACATCAGGCGCATGTCATTAGTTGCGCATATCAGAGTTAGATATTGGAAATTAATATACTCAACCAAAAATACAACAGCTGAATCAATCAATAGAGGATAGAGAGTAAAGAGCACATGAAACAATTTAGATATTATTAAAGCTCCACTGCATCCAACCCGTTAGAGGTGAGTCTAGTTAACCCCAGATAAATAATATAAGAAACTCCATGCATCAAGACTAATCCGAGTATGGATTAAAACAGTGCATAATACATAATTGAAGTACTACACAATTTTCAGGACAATGAATATTCATTTTGTAGGAAGAAGAAGAATTTTTTTTCCAAATGGTTCAAAAATAGGCATTGTGTGTCCCCAATTAGAATCATAGATATAATTTGAAGTATTTCTGTAGTATCAAATTTAGCTCAGAAGCATGGTAAAAGGCAACAAGCAATGCCTCTTAAATTGCTTTTTAAATGCTCCAAGAATAGTTAGTATGTGTCCCCAATTAGAATTATGTGTATGATCTTGAGCTATTTTGTAAACAATTTCTGTAATATTAAACTTAGGAGGAGCTTCATCAAAAGCAACAAGCAATACCTCTTAAGCTCCAAGAATAGTTAGTATGTGTCCCCAGTTAGAATTATGTGTATGATCTTGAGCTATTTTGTAAACAATTTCTGTAATATTAAACTTAGGAGGAGCTTCATCAAAAGCAACAAGCAATACCTCTTAAGCACGAAGCAACACTTCCATTGGCCATATATGGATAAACAAGTAGCCGCTCAGTTGGTGTCATGCAAAAACCGCGTAGTCGCAAAAGATTTCGATGCACAGCCATACTAATCATTTCTACTTCTGTTTGAAACTGTAACTCTCCACCTGGGGTGCGTTCTTCTTTGAGCCTTTTCACTGCAACCAGTGAACCGTCAGCTAGACGTCCCTTGTACACCTTACCAAATCCACCTCTTCCAAGTATGTTTTTGTTGCTAAAACTATCAGTTGCAACTTGTAGTTCTCGCAAAGAAAACCTTTTGAGCTGCCCCAAGTGGACTTCTGGATCCTCTTCGGCTGAGGAGAGATACAAGATGTAAAAAAGTAGTAATACATTTTATATCGAAATGTTCAATTGAATCATTTTTAAGTAGAAGCCTTAAAGCACAAACCAGGTACATCAAAGAAAAGTTCTTGTGGTTTCCTCCGGCGCCACCACGCAAAACCAATTGCTGGGGCAGCAAACAGTAAGGCAGCACCAGCAGCTACTCCTCCAGCAATTGCTCCAGTGGCACTATTTCCTCCTGCAATTACATTTAGAACAGATAAAATAGTTCAACACTCATTTGCAGATAAAAATTGAAACATTCAGTATCGTATATATATCAACAAGAAACTGTCTCTGTAATGGTTCGAGCATATTGAGCATTTTAAGAAATTGTTTTACACTCCAATAGAAAAAATTATTCAATTACTGCTCTTATAGAAACACGGTTGAACCAGAAAGTGCCACTGTTCTTGACTTGTGGGTGTACCTTGAATGGTACAAAGCTAGTAACAGAAACAGTGCAACACAGATATCAAAATGGGAAAATTTTGCAACCTCAACGAATGTAGGGGCAAAATTGGTAACAACATTCTTAAATGCACATGCATGTTTTAGTCATATGCTGCTTGAAGAGAGTAGCAGTACACAATGCTTTTATCAGTAAGGAATGACAAGGAAGGAAAGTAATCAGAAATTTATCTGGGTAAATCTGGACAAACATAACATCAACTACAGTAAAATTAATAGTCTTTTGGGTAGGAGGGAAGAGTGTAAGGAAGAAAAAAGGGTGCAGGAAAAGAAGAAGGGAAGGATTGTCATTGTTTGGAAAAAGAAAAGGGGGGAAAGGAAAGGAAGAGAGGATGCGAGGTTTTTCCCTCCTGGCCCACCATATTCCTTCCTCCAAAAAGTGGGGGAAAGGAGGGGAAGGCTCTCCCTACTTTTGATGGTTTTACCCTTCAAAAGACACCCTTTCCTTATATAAGTGTGTAATGGTTAAAACCATGATATACCCTTTCCTTCTCTTCCTTCCTCCTTTCATTCTTTCTTAACCAAACAATAAAAGAAAGGTCCCTTCCTTCCCACCTTCCTTTTTCTTCCACTTCTTTAACCCTCATACCAAAAGGAGCACAACAATAACTATAATAACAGCACCTGGAGAAGAAATTGTTGCTGGTGGGACAAATGGAGGAGGTGGAGCAAATGGTGGAGATCCAGGACAGGGTCTCCCAGTCACCGGTCCACATAGATTTAAGTTGTTAGCAAAACTGCATAATGTAAATAAAATATTAGCATAGCATTTTGTTACGAGTCATTCAAGACTGCTACAGCAAACAACATTCAAAGGCAAGAAACCTGATGGGAGTGAATAATGAAAACGAGCCATTGTCTGGAACAGGTCCCGATAAGCGATTGTTTGATAAATCCCTGGGTTCCACAATGCAAATGATTTAAGTCACATCATTGCATCAAAAAAGTTGCAAATGGGTGTAAAACCTGTGAAGGGAAAAGGAGAACCACAAAAAAAATCTGCAAGAAATGATATTATCTAGGCACTTACAAGACTTGAAGTGCACTAATATTAGTCAAGGACAGAGGAATTGGACCGGAGAGGCTGTTGTTGTTAAGCCGGCTATCCTTATGCAGCCATGCCAAAAGAAGAAAACATTACATTCGCATACACTTCAAATGATGATAAATACGTCAAAAAAACAAGATTAAAATTTTCAAAATGCTACATCTAAACACATAATGCATGACATAGCCAAAACAAATTACCTATTTCATGATAAGCAAATAACCTTCCGACAAAGATAAAGTAAAATATCAAACCAGAAAGAACAAAAAAGTAAAAATAAAATAAAAATGATAAGGATGGGTTTCCATACAGGAACCGCAGTTTTGTCAGCTTGCCCAATGTGTCTGGTATGGGACCAGTGAAACCGTTCATGTACAGATCCAAGCTCACCAAGTTAGTCAGATTCCCTAGATCACTAGGAATGATTCCACTTATGTTGTTACTATAAAGCTCCCTGTCACATAGAAATTAATTTTAACATTTTTAGTAAAAAAATATAATGAAATACACAATAAGAAAAGAACAAAATGCATAAGAAATTGAATGTACTAAATAATAATAATAATAATAATAATAGCACGTGAAGATGTAATTATGGATTTTAAAAATTCAAGAGCAAATGATAACAGCCATAACCATCGTAACATTGTAGCAAATTGCTAGCATGACATTTAAAAGAAAGGGGTCAGGAATGGAGCTGGATTCTTATTGTTGTCAAGAGAGAGAGAAAGTGAAAAGCATACCATATATTTAACAATGTCAACATTTCATGTTCTGGGATGAAAGATGAACAATAATAAACTCATCTAAAATGCACAAGGCTAGAGATGTTAGGCATAAGCATATTTTTCAGCAAATCATGGCAGGATAATGGATGTAAGTTACTGTATATGGTACCAAGACATTCCCAAGCAAGCCACTTACCTCTTCATGGTGGAAAATGTAAGAAGAATGGTGCACCCTAGTTGTATTATCTGTTGTTTTTAATGCAGTTTTCTTCATTTCTCTCAATAAATACAAACTAGGTGATTTAGGCCTGACATGATGGGTCTTTTGCCTCAAGGCAATAGTTTTAAGGCTTAAGATGTGTAAACCATGCCATTTACTCAAAAGAACCATAAGCCTCCTACTTGTCTTGCTTGGTTCTTCAATGCAAGAGTTGGATTAATAACATGAGCTAGGTTTATAGAAACTCTATTTAAAAAAGAGGGGAAAAAAAAAAGAAGGTTATTCAATTATTCCAAGGATTACATAAAAACTATATGCTTCCTCTTTAACCTAGATTATATAATATTAAATAGGTTTCAAGCAAGGCAATACGCTGGCGGGGAGGAATCTAGACACCCCATTTTGCCCTTTTCCCATTAAAACATCACACTTGATACTTTGAATCTCACGATCAGAACCAGAAGATTTCTACCTTAGTTGACTAGTCTGACATTTTGAAAATGGGGTTTGGCCGCCTATTTGAAAACAATTTAAATTGGAAGCTCTCTTGAATTGGTCTTACCCTCCTTTTTGGAATGGTATTCAGAAAGTTAAAAAAAAAAAAAAAGCAAGCATAGTTTCAAACTTGTCATGTCATTCCCTTTGAAATGGCATAAAGACTAACAATTAGCGCAGCACTTGACTGTCTATAATCAAACTTTCACTGCCAACTTTTAGTGCCTATTTGAACAGTTGGCATGTTAAACGAAGGTTTTCCAGAGTGCACTTCACCATATCCTAGGATATGGCCTTTAGTCATTCACAGGTCCAAAAGTTGACCTAGCAATTTCCCACTTATAAAGTTGTAGAAGCATCTAAGTCACAAATTAAAATTATTCCTAGTACCACCAAGGGTTGTAGCCTAGTGGTATCTCCTCTACCTTCTACAGTTGAACGTCACAGGTTCAAGTCGCATTAGGGTCAAAAACAGTTGTGTGAATATGACATGGTAAAAAAAAAAAACAATAACAATAACAATAATAATAATAATAATAAAAGAAAAATCTAAGTAACACTAAAAGTGCTCCTGGGGCTCGTTTTACCTATTTTGTAAAGCATGCTTACAATTTATTTTTTTTATAATCGGGTTTGAGAATACTTTAAAAATAATTCAATGGGTGAGAACACTTACATTTATGTTGTAAAAAAAACCACTCAAAGTGAAGTTTTGCGGTCCCATGACTGTATTCTGACTTTCACATTTCTATGTTTTTATGTTCACTCTTCCAATATTTCAACACTCAAAATATAAGACTAAGTCTACAATGATTTTCACATTCTTGGAAGAATTGAGAATAAAAAGACACTGAAATGTGTTTCTCTTTCCTGATCTATTTGATAATCTATCCCAAGCACAGAGTGGCTTAATAAATTAAAAAAAATCAACATTTATGTGTTGCATGACTTATTTCTGAATTTCCATAATTAGCGGAAGTCTAGAATCAAGGAATGTGTGCTTCAGTTCTGCTCTAACAAGTGGTAAAAATCATCTAAAACACTTGTATGTGCTCAATGCCTAGACTTTGTGCTTCCAAAATGGCCAAGATGTAAGGTAGTCTAGTATAACTTTGTTCCAATCTTTTAACTAAGGCAAACAACAAGATGGCACTAATGTCTTAAACATATTTCTCTTTTCTTTGAGTTAACAAAATGATAGATCAAATCTCAAAATATTTTCGGTTCCAATCTTTCCAAAATACAAATCAAGACACTACCAGATGTCTTGGGCTAAATTTTACTTCACTTTATTAATTTTAGGACATCTAATTTAACATGGTTTAGATACTAACCATCTTGAAAGTAACAATCTAATGTGCATGTTTAAGTATATCATGCCTAATTGAAAATGGGGGAAAGGTGAAGCCTTCAGCGATGGAAAAGGAAAGAAGATCAGAGCAACCACACTTCATTGTATTTAATCATGACTTACAGGTACTGTAAATTTTTAAGCTGGCCAAGCTGAGGGACCAATTGACCAGATAATGCTGCATTTCCAAGATCACTGAGAGAAGGCATAAAGAATTCAAATAATGCAAAAGTTAGAAAGCAAAAGAACTTTTCAAGACTTCATGGAAGAGGACAACAAGTGCACATATATCACAAAAGCCATCAATGGATGAAGTTACATACACTCTTATAACACTATTTTCATTGTTACATGTAACATGAAACCATGTACAAGGGTTTACAAGGGTAGGATCCCAACTCTGCAGAACATTGTAAGGATCTTGTAAGTTGGTTCGTAGGCTATGCAAAGCGTCACCTGTTTACAAAGGCAAGCATCAGCTGATGATCGAAACAAAGATAATATAAACTCGAGAAATTTTTTAATGAAAAACAAAAAATCTCAAGCATTTGGCATGGCAAAATTTTATAGCACGAAGATAAAGATAATAGAAGAAGGGAGAACCAACAGTGTCATTCAACATAGACACGTAGATATAGTACATAAAAAGGGAAAATTATATATTTATATATTTAAATATGGGTTGTGGTAATATTAAAATATGACTAGCTCCTGAAAGTTTTTATTAGACCAGGACAACTGGACAAAAGATTTTCGAGATCTTTGGGAAAACTAAATTAAAATTTCTAACAGAGTAAGTATCATGTAACCCTCTATGCCAAGCGAGCATGCATGTACTTTGAAATAGCTGAACTGCCTTAGCTGGACACAACTGACAGGGTTATGGCAATGGGTTATGATTAAGCGCCCCAACGAGTCTCAAATCGGAAATGTACCCAACAAGCAAATCATCAGAAAAAGGGGAGAACAAATTCATTGTTTTTCAAAAGGTGCCCACCAAGCCTTCTCAGCTAATTCTTGTCTACCAAGTGTATTTTAAAAGTGCCCATGTTGAGTGTAATAGGTTCAAAAGACACAGTTTTCCTCAGAGACGGTCTAAAATGAGAGAAATCATAACCCATACAGGCACCTCATAGCTCAAAATATGTAATTAGATTGAAATACACTAACACACAGACGACTGAACTCCAATTTGCCCTCTTATTTTATAACCCAACATGCCCTCTTGCACTAACATTTGAAGTTTGGAGGTCATATGGCACATTTCACCAGGACACACATGCAGCCGACTAACATTCCCAAGTCCGTGTAACATTGGTCACACATGCAGGCACCTCATAGCTCAAATATGGAATTCGATTGAAATACACTAACACATAGACTACTGATCCCCAATTTGCCCTCTTATTTTATAATCTTTCCACATTAGGTGAAAGTTCCTTCAACATTTTGGGAAGCTAGCTACCCCACAAGCCAACTAATCATGTTTTTCCAAGTAATTTATTTTCCCTCGATAAATTAATGAGGTTTGAAAGAACAGAAAAGGCTGAAGGCATTAAATAATAGAAACCGCCCAATTCTATATCAATCCATTTATTATAATTTTTTTCAACCATAAAACGATATAGTAGTACTTCTACAACAATGAATAGAACTGCCATATCCCTTTCACTCAGTACACTATTATAAGAAATTAACTACACGATGAATTTTGGAAAGGAAAATACTATAATCTGAAAACAAAACAAACACTTAGACATCATAGTTTTATTCACGTTAAATATATATAACCTACAAATTTCAAATATATACACATTTCAACAAATCAATACAATAAAAAGGGGCACAAACAAACACAAATCAGTACACACCTTCTGTATTAGCAGAAATCATTGAGAGAGGATGAACCACCATGACCAACCATATCAGAACCGAAACAGCGATCTCTCGCTCCATCACTACTTTGTTTTCTCTCTCTACCTTTCATCTACTTCTTCATCAATCTCCTCCACCGATCCAAACTCACATCACATAAACCCTAAACCCTCCCAAAACCACAGTCCAAAGCGAATGTGGCCAAAATCTATACCATTTTCAGCAAAGATTGCATCAAACGAATACAAATCGAGCGCCGATCTCATCCTATCACAAAAAGGGAAAGATTATCAATAGATTCGACACCATATTCGAGTTTTGCTTCGTTTTTTTTCTCTTCGACTTTTTTTATGCCCACTCTCTCTCTCTGAACACTCTCACAACACTCTCTGTGTGTGCAGCGTTTCGATTATCCTGTTGTTGTCTCTCTTTCTCTCTCTTGTTTCTCTCTCTGCGTGCAGTGTTTAAGGTGCCCGAAGGAGGTGCCCGCTGCCCGGGCTGAGTGCAAGCACACTGTAATAAAGGTCGCGCACTTACACCGTTTTAGTCAAAGACAGGACAGCGGGGTCCACATATGCCAACTAGGATGCAGTCAAAGTCTTAATCAAATATTCCGACACAACACAACGGAACGTGTTTATTTCACTACATCACCGTTTTGGTGTTGCCACGTCATCATAAACACTTTAAGGGGAAATTTTTTTTAAATAATTCGAGAATCAACCAATTTGTTTACATATTCTCAAATGCACTCAAACAATGTGAAGACTTTAAATTTCAAATTGAACCAAAAGTAGTTAATGAGCTGTATTTTGTCTGTCAAAATAAAATAATATTTTTTATTAGGGTAAATTAGAGATTTGTCAATACTTTGTATAGACCATCTTTGTACATACTTTGTCAATAATTTATACACACCATCTCTATATTTTATAATTCCATTTATACCTTGACTTTTTGGTACATGTAACAAATTTTTTTTATGTTTGTCAATTTTATCCTCTTAATACTTAAAACGACAATAAATATTTTATGAAAAAAAAGTTAAAAAAATCACTAGCACACGAGAAGTAAATGAAATTATAAAATATAGAGAAAGTCTATATGAAATATTGATAAATCTCTAGAGCGGTAATTAAAATTTACCTTTATTATTATTATTTTTGAATTCATTTTTTTTTTTTTTTTTGGAGAGAAATCATATTTAATTTAAGTTACTTGATTTAAATTGAGTTTGAGTTTTACAGTATATGACATGATTGACATTAACATATTTGGATGAATTAATTATAATTTTATTCTCCCAAAAGTATTTTTCTTAATATCAAATTCTAAATGGGATAGGATAGATCATAGAAGTATAGATCCATCTTTTATATTCAAATAGTATTTACTAAAAAAACAAATGGATTGAGTCTAATTTAGTCACACTTCAGAGTGGCAGGTGATGGGAATGGTGCCAAAATTTATCACATCATGACAGTGACAGAGCATTGGTCGCACTTAATGTGTACACCGTTGGTCTTTTAAGTGAATAATGACAGTGGTGGTAGTGATTGGCGGGACCTCTTACTTTTGTTTAAAATGGACAATCCAATACACTTGGTGAAGTCATTTTTATCCCTGTTTTTTTCAAACCATATGATGATTTTTATTTTTCGATAACATTTTTAAAAATTAAAAAACTTGTTTTTGATATTTTTATTTGGTGTTAATAAATCATGTGTATCAGTCAACCCTAATTGTCGCAACATTTGAACGTGTAACGGGCCCTTGTCTAAAAAGGTTGCAACCTTTTCATTTTATGGTGGTGGAGACATACATATGCCCCAAGCGTGCGCTGTGTCCGGGCCCCAAAAATTAAAGAAACAAATAGTTCATGCTTATCGACTTTATAGGCTTAGGAGGTGTAAATTATTTTATATTATACTTGTTAACTTCTCGAATTTGTAAGCGTGATACATGAGTAAATCTATGTAGAACTTTCTATTATTGATGAAGTTGGCCTAAAGCCCACTCGTGGAAAAAGTTATTGGGTGACACGGGGTACCCAATAATATAGTTACACTGTCCAATTGAATATTTATTTTTTATATTATTTATGGAGGATGATAACTTGTTATTATATGAGAATATTATATTACTAGCTGTGGATATAGAGTTTGGATACCTTTGAATATGTTTATATGAGTGGGCTATAGCATTTCTATCAGAAGATATTTATAGGAATGGGAAATGATGTCATTGTTGAATTTGTAGTTTGAAATTTGTGTGCAAATGTAGTTATGAAAGAATTAGATTGATTTAATTTTTGTGTACTGGTCCAAGATATGTACAGGAAACAGATTTATATTCCATTTTGAAAGCTTTAGTGGATAAGTAATGAAATTTTTGTTTTATTAAGAATTATGTTTCAAGACCCGGTAAAGAGCGATGTGGTTAAGAGAGAAGGAAATGTGCAAGGGGTTATAAGGGTACATAACTATATAAATGTTGTGAGGAAGGGGAAGATTATATATAATTCCTGGAGATATAGCCTGGTAAAAAATAGGGGGGATGGGAGTGGGTCCTCATGTTCTAGGAAAACATTTAATGAGCAAATGTGCGGGTTTTGATATTTGTGATTGTATATTTTTTTGACACATTTCTAAAATTGAGTGAATTATGTAAAATAATGTGTTGTGTTTTGTCTATGTATGATTCTTCTACTAATATGTGTTTTTGTGATGATGATGTTTATGACGTGTATGATGAAAAAGAGATTTAATTTTTAACGACGACGACTAATCAAGAACTGATTAAAAGAAGTTAATATCCCTAACAATCATCTCCACTCACATAGAGAAGTCAAATGCATTCAACTTTGTAACTATTTATCATTTTTATTTATTTTATATTTACTTTTGAAATATTCAATAATTTATTATCTGGCTAGTGCTTTAAGGGAAAGAGAAAGACTTAGAGCTTTTGGAGAATGTGAGACATGAGAGCAACAGCATCAACCTAGTTTTGCATCCCTAAATAAAATGTCACTATTACAATTTGGAGAGCATGGACACAATGATAGCAATAACATCCCATCTCAATAATCTATTAAAAAAATACTCCCTCCAGGAACTATTCATATTTTACCACTAGATTAATGCTGTTTGTAATATCTTTAGAATGAGATTCTAATTTAATTTTGAAATATTACTATATAAAATAATACAATATTTTTAAAACACGAAACCCAAATTTGTAGTCATAATAAGATATGATTAACATAATTTTATAGTGAAAAGCATTTAGTGGCTCTATGACAACTCCATCCTAGTCAAGGAATTGATCGTCTCAAATTTTCTTATTTCACCTCTTTTCTCTTGTTACTATTTGGCCCATGTGCCACACTTCAGAGTGCATGTAATTAAATTATAATTTCATAAAATTAAATACTTGATGTGATTAATGTTGTGGCCTGTGAGGCGTAATTTGTGCAAAATAATGGATTTATTTAGTTTCATGTTCTATAGTTTAACTATAATTAGTAAAATTTAATTTTTATGTGATTAATGTTACCTTGTAGCCTAGTGGAAACATTCGGATAAAAAAAGAAAAAACAAAGGAAAGTAGAACCTAAGCAGGCTAATCGATCAATAAAAACACACAGCCTCACTAGTTGACTAAAAAATCTCATAAGGGCTACTACTTTATAAAAGATTAATCCGTAATGTTTAACGTTAATGTGAGTCAAATGATTAATCATGTTTATGTCAAAAAAAAGTTAAATTTAAAGGTACCAGAATCTGGCATTCTTATCATTTCACTTTAACATTTAAGTTAAATTCATGCGATGTCCATTGCTTAAAAAAAATTAAAATAACACTTCGATTAACGTTATTTAAACACTCCCTAGAGGTAACAAATTATGATACAACCTGTCAATATGATTCGAACACGACACGAAAATTTGAATTAACCTTAAACGGGTTCGGGTCATAAACTAGTTGACACGATTAACCCGTTTACTTAATCGTGTCGGGTTAAAGTTGATGAGTTCAACCCATGTAACCCGTTTATACATATTTAACACAATATGTCATAATCGTGAATATGATCTATGAAATATGTTACTTGTCTAAACTCAATTAAAATTGATAATTAAGTTATTTCAACATAAATCTTCAACACACTTATGATTTTTATTTTTATTTTTTGAAATTTTGAGTTAATTGTGACAAAAAAATTTAGTATTTATTATTTAATTGAATATTAAATGTCTCGAATCGTTAAGCAGTTCAGTGAATTAATACGTCAACCCTTTAGATAAACAAATTAAATTAGTATTGGAAGTTTATAATATATTATTAATTTTTAAATAAATTAAATTTAAATTTACTTATTTTTAAAAATACCTTATATAAAATACAGACAAGACAGGACACTAACACGAATTGCCACCTCCAAAGTGACAATGACTTGGTATTCTCTTTTTTTGTCTTTTATAAACATAAGAACAAAATTGGTATCGGCTATTTCCACCTAACAAAACTAAGGCATTTGCTTAAAATTTCAAAAAAAAAAAAAAAACTAAGGCAACGTGGCCTTATAGAGAGAGTCCACGACTGAACTCTCACCATAAACCCAATCCCTTCTCTTGGGGCTCGAAATCAAGAAGTTTGGAGAAGAAAATATTGCGATAAAGATGGAGAGTGAGAAAATGGAAGAAGCTTAGTGAAGAAGTAGAATAATGGAAATGACATTGCATTGAATGGAGTTTCAAAATTACCAGTTTCGAAGAGGTTTGGATGAAGAGGACAATGGATGAGTTTGGTCAACAAAATGGCTGGTTCAAGCCAAGTGGACGACGACAGCTTGAGGTATACGTTTATGTATCTGAGTTTTCCTTTTGCTTGTGTTCTGTTTTCCAAAATTTGTCTATAAGAAATTGTGTTGGTTTGCAGAAAAAATAAATGAACAGATATATGAATAAATATGCAGTGGGATAATTATGAAGCCATTAATTGTATTGTGGAATTGGAACTTGGACTCTGATGAATTCTAGTTGGTGGTTGTCATGTGGTAAAAGGGAATCAGAGATTAGGTTTGTTATATTTATTACAATTGTGGCATATCTTTCAGATTCTTTTTAAGTTCTATATTTTGGGAGTTACTATAATGTTACAATAACAACCAATTGATGATGATGATAATAATTTTAAAGGAGGAGAAAAACTTTGATTATATTGTTAATAACAATACAAATGGCAATAATTATATTATAGCAGCAATAATAACAATAATGTTGCGTCTTGAGCACCAAATTTGTGCATTAGAACTAAATTTTCTCCAATTCTAATTCCAAGGGACCAAGACACTGATTCGGTGAAGGGTTCTCCGTGTCTTCTTGTCAAATGGTTGGCAGAAAGCATTTTGAGATCAGATTCTGAAGTCATCAAATGTTAGCCAGCACTGTACAAGGTGGGCATTCTTGCTTAAGAATCTGTTGATCCGTTGTCAAAAAACTCAAAGTTAGTGTATATCATTTGTGATCCTTGACATTGTTAAATACCCAGAGGCTAAAAGTTATCACTCGTCACACTAATGGATTTTCAACAGGGTCCCTTGTATGGACATTGCCAGGCTTCATAAGTTGGGCCTCTGGTCTTTGTTGTTTCTGTTTGATCTCAATGCCTTGCTTAGGCCTGTTTCGGCACACCTCGGCCCTTTGTAAATATTTTTCTCATGTATATACTTTGCTCAACCTTTTGGGAAAAAAATAAAATTTATTGTAAGACTTGAGGCTAAAAGATATCAGAAGTGGATGTGCAGGAAGCTAATTTTTAATTTGTTTTTACTAGAAAGGATCAATTTCGTATAATGTTCAAGTTCACCAGTGCAGGTGAGCGTCTAACACTTCTGGAATATATTGGATAGCATGAGAGATAAGAAAATTCAAATCATTCATTGTACTGCTGTTCAATTGTATTGTTGGTCAACTTACTTAACAGTTTGCTAGATGCAAAAATAAGGTTTCATTGATAATTTACTTAAAACTTTTATCATCTACAAATTCTGCACATATCATGACAAGGACTTGGTAAATCAGGTGTTCAAGTGTGTGCGCTTGTGTGTTTCTCTTTGAATCCAAATGCTTGACATTTTTTTTTTTGCACATTGTAGAGTAGTATGCAAAACAAACATTGTTTCTAACTATTTACTCAATGGGCTCGGTAAATAGGTTAATGAGTAGGGATGATTAGTTCAGATGCAAAATAATAACAAACATTGTTACTAACTATTTACGTAATTGAATTTATTGTTACAAGAATTCAAATTGTTTAACAAGGCATGATCCTTTTCCCTATTATTGAATTTGTCTGAGTAATCAAACACGAAGTAGCTAATATCTCAATTCATCTGAGTAAGCTGTCCATTTCTGGTTCATTTTTTGAAGCAATTTGTTCTCATTTCCTCTTGGATTTTAGTTACTGCTGCACTCAAATCGTTTCTTCATGAGGTGCCCGCTTTGGTAACATGTCTCTTTCTCATTCTTGAGGTTGAGAAATTACATCAACAGGGGAGATTGATACCATGAACTGCTTGAATTAAAGGTGAGTGAATCTTGTTATATTTTAGTTTATATATCTGATGATTTTATTTGCTTACCTCTTCATGTAGGAAAAATAAATTATAAAAGTAGCTTATCATAGGCATAGCAATGGTTAATGGAAAGTGAATTGGGGAAAAATTATACGGAAGACGTCATTGTATGGTATGGACGGTGGCCAAGTCTGTATAGTTATGGCTCATGGACCCCAACACAGGAGTACCTTCCACTAAATTCACCATATGCTCCTGTTACATCTACTGATGCTTCTGCTTCTTTGAAAGCTTAGCCATACATATCCTTTTTCATATTGTAAAAGATTGTAGAAAATAGCATCAATATATTACACAAGGTTCCAACTTCCAAGCCAACAATGATGATAATTTATAGTTCAACGAATATGTTTAGTTCGAGAATACGTCAAAATAGTTAGGAAATGTCTTCTATCAGCAGTGAGTATCTTCATCAATGGCACTATGCATGTTTTCTTCTCTTTGCTTTTCCAAAAAGAACACTGCTATTTGTTGTGACCGGTGACTATCTTAACGCTCACAAGCAGGCTGTGACACATCATCACTCATGGTCGGCCCCACAAGGGGCTGTGAGTGTTGTGACAGTTGCTTGTCGCAACAAATATAATTTTCCTTCCAAAATGTAGTTGAGAGGAAACAACTATTTAAATATTCCCTGGGGACCAATGGATGATGTCCCTGAGAACAAACTAGTCATTTATGGCTTTCGGTTACACCTATTAACCTTAGTAGTCCTCAGCACGTAGCTAAATAAAAAGGAAGCGGGTTGAAATTACACCTGGAAAGAAATGACAGTCTTACCCTCCTTAGCAACCTCATAGCATGAAGATCTTTTCGTGAAATTCGCAGTTCAATTGAATATCCCTGTCACACAATTGCTCTATCTGCGGCCATTAAACAGCCTTCAATCACCTGCCTTCTCTACCATCGAAGTTAATAGAACCACAAATTCTATATTGAAGAAGAGAGTGAATGAAACTTATAATAAACAATGTTGAAGTTCAAGTTATTTGGAAATGGTTTTTGTAAATGGCATGTGTTAATATAGCTTTGCTTGCATGTGCACCATTTTATGCCATTAACATTCTTGTGATATTCACTGGGGATTGTGAGGCATTTTTCAGGAGCCATATTTATGCCTTAGGTACTTGAAAATTTGTGTTGCATATCTTATAATGGTGATTTGCTTTATAAGTTAGATTTGTAATTAGATTAGTCAAAATCACCTTGTGATTAGGATAATCAAAAAAAGAATGTAAAGATACTCTGCATAATAGTATAGGAGAAATTGTAATTTGTTCCCAAATAAAATTTTGGGAATATGTATTTTATTTTTAAAATGAAAATTGTGTTCGAGTATTCTCCTTTTATCATATATTCAAAACCTGATTGTGGCTTTGCACAATTGAGTTATATTTTTGCACTAAAGTGTCTTGCTAATGAACTACAGTTCCATTTAAACAAATAAACTGAACAGATAGTACATGAGCTTTTTTGTCCTTCATTATTAGTCCACATGCAATCAAAAGCTGAACGTGCAGCTTCATCTCTAATACCGGGTCAACAATCTTGTGCTCTAGACATTTTTTTAACTCTCTCTCTCTCTCTCTCTCTCTATATATATATATATATATGTACCAACATTTCTCTTCTTTTTTCAAAGAAATTGTCTGCTTATCCTTTGTCTTTCAACTACATATTATAATGTCTTAGTGCTTTTTATCCTGTTTGCTAACCAAATTAAAATTAAACAGGTGGTGAGCTGTATTGTGGAAGTCCATGTGCTAATGAATTTAAAAATCTTAAGTTGACATTGTTATGTACCCCCCGTACGAAAAGTGAGAACTGTAAGTATTATTTTATGCACTCTTTCTTTTCTTTCTTTTTTTCACTCGCTAGTTTGATTAGATGTCAAGAATAATCATGCATATATACAGTCTCCTCCACACTGCTCTGTCATGATGATTAGATTACAGTTTAGCTTTTGTTTTTTGGTATAATTTTAATAGAGGACGGTTTGCATGTGATCTTTGTCCTGATATATGTTTTAGAGGCTAAAGTGAATTTCTTTTTAGTTAATTGAGTCTGACAAAACCTAGTCTTGTTGTATACTGTGATATATAGACAGATAATAAATATAATTTCCAAACTTAAACAGCGTTAATACAGCACAACCAGTTTAGGGCACTGTTTTGGAATTAAAAGCCTAAAGTATTTAATGAGAGATGAATGTCAACTGAGAAACAAAAATGCTACTTGTAATCTTCATGTGACTAGCTTGTCACTTTCTTTTGAATGTAATTAAAACAACTTTGTGCCAACTGGCTGTTTGAAACATTCCCAAATACATTGAATATATGGGAATTTAAAACTATGAAATTACTAGGCAAAAAAGAAAAAGAAATATTGTTTTGACTTTCCATAAAAAAAGGTTGAAATTGAAGCCATGTTTGCTTAATGTCTTGGAAAATGATGATGTTCTTATCCTTCAAAAGAAGACGTAGAAATGCTCGTACTAGTTCTTGAACATGTAGTGAAAGAATGACCAAATATTTTCAGATTGTGTTTCCATGTTCTTCCTCATCAAGAATGCGAGTTGCGAACTGTGTCCGTGTCTCAACCCATTTGATCAACTCATCTTCCTAGTGCTTGAAGCCATGTTGGCCAAACCTACATGAGAGAGGGCAAGTGTCACATTATTAATCTCCTATTCACACCATCCAAGAAGTATGTTGGAAGAGTGATTAGATACCCATAGTTTTTAATTTCATTTTACAGACAAAATTGTTTTTCCAAACAGAGTACCACATGTTCTGGTTTATCTAATCTTCAATGACTTTCTGGAAAACCAGTTGTGAATGTTGGAGTGTTGTTATACCTTTAACATGTGGTCCAAAGGTTTCAAATGCCCATAATTTGTATTTCTTCTTTTGTGTAATGTGCAAATGGGTTGTACTTTGTGTAAACAACCAGCCACTGAGAAGTCTAGAAATGCTACATTGTAGCTGTTTCTATTTCTCACAATAAAACAAAGTTGTATAACCCGAAACAACACCTGCTAACGGTTTGGTTTTGTTTTTTCTTTTTGTTTTTTGAATCAAAGTTGTATATGCTTACAATTTTCACTCAAGGTTTATTTATTATTATTTTTAGGGTGTAATTTCATGTAAAGTTACATAAATTTTGATGTTAAAAGCTAATTAGATTTTAGTTAGTAAGGTTCCATTTGTTGAAATAAAAAACTTCTGTCGAGTCCTATTATTGAAGCATCTATACTCTCTGTTAAGTCCTCTTACTATCTTTCTTCCCATTCATGCTTCCAAAAATGCCCCATTTCTTCCCCTTGCAATCTTAAGCTTAAAACAGTTACAATCTATAGTTGCAGTGTGTGTCTGTTCACACACACACACGAAAGATGTTTCTTGTTATTGTTGGTGTTGTTGCTATTGTTAATTTTCCCAATGTTATATACTTTCAGTTTTGAAGAATTTAAATGTTTTTTTTTTTTTTTTTCATGTAAAAATAATATATATATATATATATATAGGCCAAATGTGCTTAGACTTGATCGGCTTAAACTATAGTCTAATAATCACAGTTTAATGGTTTTCACTCACATAAATCATATTAGCTTTAGACATCAAATAAAGTAGGAGAATACCCAGAAAGGTACTTTTTTCTTTGGAATGTAATTAAAAAAAAAAAAAAAAAAAAAAAACAGAATGACATCTCTTCTGAGAAGTAAATTTACACTAGAAGAAAAATATCTTCAAGGGAGGGACTGGGTGTAGATATAGTCCTCATTCTCAAAAACAGTACTCATCTCTTCTGATCCCCCATTCCTCTCTCTGCACTCAACAGTACTCTCCTTCCCACACTCATCAGCTGGTCCCTGCAATTAATAATACACATGTATAAACCACACACACACACACACACATCCATGTATATAAGTTATAGAACACATCAAATATCCATACGAGTTACCAATAGAATGCGTTTGCTTGAACTTTCAAATACATGTAAATCTATATATATACAAATATACATACGAATTTTGTGTTAATTATGAGAATATTTTGATAAGCATTTTCAAGTTTATATTATATTATATATAGAGAGAGAACAACTCACCAGGGCTACTGACTTTTCAATAGTTACTACTGTCTGTTGATTTGCATTGACTACATTTCCTTGAACAACAAAAATGAGGTAGAAGAAGAGAAAAAGAGAGAGGAAGAGAGAGAAAGAGTTGAATGATCTCATTGTATGTAATTAGTTGAACATATACCAGCTGCTCTGTAGCAAAGGATGAGCAAGAAAGGAAAGTGTCCTTCGACTGTTTATATATGCTAGCAGAAAATTTAAAGAAAGATATATTGATATTGATCAGTCCTCAAATCAAGCATCTTAATTGATTGCAATCTGCTGTACTATTTTGTGTGCGTGTATATATATATATATATATATATATATATATATATATTATAATCTTATATGGGCTTTATGAGTTTTAGCTTACATTTGACCTGTCTCCTGATTCCATAGCACCAAGCTCGAGCATCAAGAGGATGGGTTGGCTTCTGTGGTGCTCCATTAAAATATGAGAGAGAGAGTTATTTCTTGTTTGTTAATTTACAAAGATTCCTTCATCTTAGCTCTTTATAATTTGAGTGAAAGCAAACAAGACCGTCCAACTAATTAAATAAATAATCTGACACAACAACTTAGTTTCGATTTGATTGATTAGTGAAGAAAAGAAAGGGTTAGAGTAGTGTTAACCAAGGATATATGTTCGAGCACAATTCTCTTTTTAGTTCAAAGTCAATGATTTCTATCTATGCAATCTTGAATGTACAACCAAAATATGACCCTTCTCTGTACAATTTGGTTCAATGGATTGTGTAGGAAACATGAAAACGAAGGGAATATTTGGCGTGCTTGGTTCGTCACTTAGATGCAGTTATTTAGAACTCAGAAAATAAGAAAATGTATTCAGAAAACTCTTTTATAAAACTCTTTTATGGTTTCCTAAAAACAGGATGAGTTTTTAGGAAATAATTTTAAAAAAAATTGAACCAAACCGAATTTTTGTATAATTTTCTGAGTAATAAACCAAGCAGACCTGTTTTTCAATAAAGATCATTTTACAGGAAATGAGATTTTCCTATAACCCACAATGAAATTTTGTTTCTTGTTTTCCTAAATTTTACCCACTTAATGTAGTGAAAAGGGACTTCAGTAAATGGTAGAAAGAGTAATGAAATTTTCTTTCTTGTTTTCCTAAATTTTAGCCACTTTATGTAGTGAAAAGGGACTTCAAGTAAATGGTAGAATGAGTAATGATATTTGGACCTATTTTTTAGACCAATTAAAATCTTAAGGATGTGTTTGGCCGCATGAAATTGGAGTGTTGAATTTAAAATTGGTGGAATTTGAAAAAAAAAAAAACAATTAAGAAAATTGAATTAATTTGTTTTTAAATTCCACACTAATTCCAATTTCAAAACTCCAACTCTACGCAGCCGGAATCATATCCCTTATAAAAATTCCCATCTTTTTTCTCTTATTTCCCTTTCGTCTTCTTCTTCTTCTTCTCCTCCTCCTTTTATTTTATTTTTTTATGGAGCCAAATATTCACTCATCTGTTATGAAAGTATAGAGTATATTATTGGATCACAGCCTTTTAAATACTCAGTTTTATTCGTAAAATAAGTTTTGACTCTCATAAATAACTTTCACATTATTTTTGTACAAAATAACAAATCTCCTATTCAGTTTTATCAGGCATCATCACTGTTCAGTTCTTTAATTCAAATTTATACCTGTCTTACAAAAATAATTGCGTGACTTAAAAGGTGGCATTAACACCATATAGCAATAAAGAGCTTGTATTAAATGTGTACAAAAAATCACATGAGCTTTTCAGTTTGTGTAATTGACTCGAAACCAAAACACAACACACAAAACACACAATACAGTACTTCACCAATATCATCTGACTTGGGCCACCAATTCCAATATATCCCCATTTTGACACCTAACAAGCTTTCACTGACCTTCTTTCTCGTCTGTCAAATATCAGAAAACAACAAATCCGAACCAACATTTACAAATATCAATTAGGGGAACAATCTTTGTCCCCAGAAAAAGATTGATAAGAGCATGACATTACACGCATATCTTCTACATTATATTATATGATCGCTTTTATTTTATCCTAAGTTCTCAACAATAAGGACTTAACCCCCAATCGCTACAAGTTTTGACCCCACCATGTTAGCTCACCAGGACTATCAAGAGAATGACATCTCTTGCGGCCCCACTTTAGAGGATGATAGATGGGGGACCCTGTTGAGGACCTACTTAAAATTTTGATTTTTGACTAACTTAGAGGTATATATTGAATTTGAATGTATTATTATATTTCTTTGAAATTGTTTTATTATTTATTTTATTTCCTTTGTTTTACTTTTCTCCCTCTTTTTTTTTTTTTTTTTTTTTTTTTTTTTTCATTATGTTTTACTTTCCTCCGTTCTTTGTTCATCACATGAAAGGGCGAGATTACAGACTACCTTAATATTTGATATTATTTTGCATAAAATAATTATTTATAAATTCAAGAAGTTGGCACCCTAAGGAGGTGATTGTGGTGACCTGGGAGGAACAACATACCCATATTGGTTACGTGTCAAATACCATAGATACATATCCGATACTTTTTAAACGTATTTATAATTTTAAAATATCATTTCTTAAACGTATTCATAATTTTAAAATATACATTTTTAATTTTTAACACGTGTATGATACTTTGACTGCATATTCAATACTTTTTGTGTACTTGATAACACATTTTTTTTAACAAGATTTAAACATTAAAATGTAACTTTTCTTACAATAATAATATTGTATAGTAATTGTTCAAAAAAGTTCAAAATTTCTTAGGTGTTGATTAGGGATACTTGTTTTATGTGTTGTGAAATGAACTATTTTATTATATTAATGATTGCATTTAGATTCATAATATTACAAGAAATTGATTTTAAAATGTAATTTTTTATATAAAAAATGTATTTATTATTATTATTATTAGTTCCCGTCGTATCATTTTTTTTTAGATTTATTGTATCGCCTTGTTCGTATCGTATCTGCACCACGTATCCGTACTTATTGAGTGACGACCTAGTGTGGACAGGGACGACCCATTCAAGTTTCTCTAACATATATTTTTCAATTGATATTATAGACAATCCTTTCAAATTTTCTTATGACAACGTCTGGGTAAGATTGTAATTGAGATAGTCAATAATACTCTATATGCAATTCAAGCATTTGAAAAATAATGACTTAATCTTTTTATATAATCAAATAATTCAATTGCCTTTTTAGTACCTCTTGATAAATTTTCTTTTAAGACTTTTACATTTGAAAATTATTATGTCATATTAATATAAGAAAAATGTCATATTTTAAGAGATGTTACAAGGTTTTTTTTTTTAAATGTCGTTGATTGCACCATGAGTCAATTTTTTGGTTGTTTGAAGAGAGAGGATAGAAACAAATAATTGTTACTACAGATTATTGTATAACATATATAAATTGATATTATAAGTACATTTGTTTATTGTTAGAAATTTTTTTTTGAAAGTTATTACCGTAACTTTACATGATATAAGTATGTATTGTCTTTTAATTATAGAAATTATGTCCTAAATGTTAGACATAAATTTTTATATTTGCACTATGATCTTAAATTTGAGGCCTTAGGCGATTGCCTTGCCCAGGACCAGCCTTGGTGTGCATGAACAAGTGTGAGACACAAATTACGAGTGCACAATTCTACAAGAGTACGGGTGCACAAAAAGAGAGGTAATATATAGGGAAATGATTTTTGTACAAAATAGTTGCGGTGAATTACTAAACTTACTATTTTAACTGATCAATTATGTAACAAATAAGGAAGTGGAGCCTTTACTTAGTTGTATTTGGTATAAATAATTAATTAAAAATTATTCGATTAGGTAATTCATTACAGATGTTCCGTGTGAATTTTATATATATAGTTGGTAGGACCGTAGGAGAGTTTTTAAGGGTAAACCAAAAGCCAAACCAACAATCATAAATGATAAATGCATTGAATAAAAGTAATATTAATCAATATAATTTTGTCGCATGTCTATTTTAGTAAAAAAAGAATATCTCAACATTGTCCACAACGCTACTGTTTTGGAAAGTGCTAAACGTTACTTCACAAAAATAAATTCGTCTCCAACATTCCTTTAATTAGATCCATTTCATTTAAATTCCAGCTGTGGTTTTCCCTTTTGCGTGAGTACGTAATCAATATAGAAGCAAAGATTATGATCCAAAAATAGAGAATGGTTTGTTAGGATTATTTATCTCGATAAAAAAGGACAAAAAAAATTATAAAAGAAGGGAAACAATAAATTAAATTGTTTTGATAAAAAAAGGTAGAATGAAAATGGTTTGTTCTTTAGAAGGAAAAACAATTTTGGTACCAAAAAAAGGATTAGTTTTATATGCTTCGTCATTTTGGGTGAAAATAAAAGTAATTTAGAAAAGTGAATATTTTAAAGGGGATGAAAAGAAAATTACTAATGTTAGGATGAAAAAATTATAAGAAAGCTGTAAGACAAATACCATTTTCAGATGTGAAGTATATGCTTTTTATTTATTTATTTTTTCTTTTTTTCCAAATAAATACATCATTCAATAAAGTTTCACATAGAAAAATGTAAAGAGATAAAAAGGAAATGAAAATTTGTTATATGGTGTTGTAACTCAACTGAATAGTTTATAATCGGATCCATTTTAGATCCGTGTTTGTTTGTTAACATGAATATCTATGCAGATTCGTGTAGGTTTGCGTGAGTTCGTAAACTTAAATTCAAGTCTGTAAAATTTTGAAAATTTTACCAACGTAAAAAAAAAAATTACTATGCAGTAGTGTCACACTTTTAAAATTGTTTTACTATACAGTGGTGTCACGCTTTTAAAAATAAATTTATGTAAGTTTACTATAAAGATGAGTTTGTAGAGGAACAAAAACTAACGTAAAATTAGTCTAAAAAATTTCAAATTAATCATACGGTGCGATCAAAATGTCTACTTACCTTTTTTATTCTTTTGTATTTTGTGACACTTTCAAACCTATTAATGGACATTTATCATTTCCACCAATTTATGACAATTAGGTAGCATAAATTGCTCATTATATCTTCACATCAAGGATTCTTAATAAAGATCTAAATATTCACTTTAAAAAAAAAAAAAATTATGAATTTCGAATCATCAGATGTATGCAATGACCACGTAATGACCTTTATAAAAAAAAATAATAATAAAAAAGAAAAAAAAAAAAAACCTCTGTTTATTTGTACATAAAATATTATTTTTTTTAGGTATTATATATATATATATATATATATATATATACTTTTCAATGTTTGACAAAAGTTTAGATTGAGGTCGAGGTTCAGGTTGAGATAGAGTACTTCGGGCGGCGGGACTTATAAAATTAATTACCCAAAATTGACAAAATAAATTTATGTATAAAATTAATTACCAAAAATTGAAGAATAAATTAATTTTGTAAAATTTTAATATATTTTTTTCTGTAAATATTTTACGAGAATCAAACACTAAAAAATAAAAAACATTCAATTAAACAGAGCCGAAATAAAAAATGACAATGTTATGAATTGGAATTCTCTAAGTTACAAAATGTGTTTACGGTGTTTAAATTCGTTCAATATAATACAACACAACACTAGACGATATCCGAGTTATGAATCGTAGGATGGTGAATCACGAACACTTGTACGGTGATTAGGTAGGGCTGGCAGCAGGTTGCTTTGCAGCTGCACTTCGTCATCCGAAAGCGGAGAAGCAAAACGAGTTAACGGCGTTAAATTCCGTTAGAAAGCATGTGAGAGTCCGAGTAGGGTCATAAGTGACACAGAAGATGAATGGGTCGTACTTTACAGACTGTAGTTAACTCACACCACCAACCAACACTCTCCACCTGACCTAAACCGCCATTTTTAACGATTTTCCCTTATTCATCTCTCTCTTTCTCTCTCTACACCTATGTAAATATACATGGATATATATATATATATATGCATTATATATAAAAAAAAACCCTAATATTTTTCGCCTCACCCTCTCTCTCTCTCTCTCTCTGCCTGTCTCTGTCTCTCTCATAAGAAACTCAAATCCATTTAATGCCCTAATTTTTCTCTTTTACTTATTCTTTTTTATCAGCTGGACCTTTCTCTTTCTCTCTCTCTTGAAACTTTCTTTCTAAACTTTCTCCACTCTACCCTCTCTCTCTAACTTACGGATTTTTGAGTCTAGGGTTTGGAGAATCAATCTCCATCAATGAATGATTATTAGGGGGTTTCCGCTCACATTGACGCCAATGAATCTCACTCTCACTCTAAACCACTTCCTCTCTCTACTCCTTTTCCCTCTTCTCTTCTCCGTCGTCTTCGTCTCTTCCTCCGCAGACGAAGTCCGATCACTCCTCGAGTTCAAGAAAGGGATCCGAGAAGATCCACTTGGAAAAGTCTTGGATTCATGGAATCAGTCGTCTGCAGATCTGAGCACTTGCCCTCAGTCCTTCTACGGCGTCTTATGCGACGACGAAGGCTATGTCTCCGCCATTGTACTCGACAGTCTAGACTTGGTTGGAGACTTGAAGTTCTTCACACTAAACGGACTCAAAAGGTTGCAAAATTTGAGTCTGTCTGGTAATTTTCTCACTGGTCGACTCGTTCCGGCATTGGGGTTAATGACTACTTTGCAGCATTTGGATCTGTCCGGCAATCAGTTTTACGGTCCGATCCCTGCTCGACTCAACGATCTTTGGGGATTGAATTTTCTCAATTTATCGTTGAATAATTTTACTGGTTGGTTTCCGAGTGGAATCCGTAAACTTCAGCAACTGAGGGTATTGGATTTGCATTCAAATCAGCTTTCGGGTGACATTCACGACTTATTTTCAGAGCTTCGAAATGTCCAGCACGTTGATTTGAGCTATAATTTCTTTCAAGGGTCGCTTTCAATGGATTTGCAGAACATTTCCAGCTTAGCAAATACGGCTCAATATTTGAATTTAAGGCACAATAAGTTAGATGGTGAATTCTTCAGTGATGACGCTATCTCATTGTTTCGGAATTTACAATTCCTGGACTTGGGCGATAATCACCTAACTGGGGAGCTTCCTTCATTTGGTTCACTTCACAATCTTCGAGTTCTGCGTCTGGGAAGTAATGAATTCCATGGGTCAATCCCCGAAGAGCTGTTCGAGAGTGCAATTCCTTTGGAAGAACTAGATCTCAGTGACAATGGATTTTCAGGTAACAAATAAACCTCTAGTGTAAAATTATCTGGTCAGTAGATCAGTAATTTGTTTGGCCAAGTCCTTAAAGGACACCCTTTTCTTTATGCTTTAGTGTCCGCTGTAACTTGGTTGTCTTTTGCATTTAATGAAATAGTAGGAGGAATTCTAGAATTTCTAATCATAATATTTGATTTTACACCGTTGCATGCTTTTGAACTTTGATACATCACACATCTAATTTTACATATTTATATTGTTGATTTGCAAACTGGCCCTTTTTGGCTTATATGTAGAATTTTGATGACATTACCCTGTTATTCAATGATTAGAGCATCGAGAACGGAATCATAGAGGATGTATGCATGACTGCCTAGGGGAGATTGGTTGTCTAACACCTTAGGTTTGAAAGATAGATGTAAGAAAAGTACGAAAAACACCTCTACAAGTTCTGTTACCAAATTGAGGCCGGATCATTAGAATTTAGCACTACAAAAGAATAACTACTACTGTTAAAGTTCAATGTAAAGTGGTTGAGGATCGGTTGGTTCAATGTAAAGTGGTTGAGGATCGGTTGGGAATTGATTAAGTAGAATTCTGGGATAGATCCCTTGGGATCATACTCAAGGGTTGTATCAGAGGATCCCAAAGACCTTTGAAAGCTTCTAAAAGATCTCTTGAACTAATCTTTATTGAATTTGAAAGAGTACATAGACACATGTGTGTATTTATGACATGGGGAATTCTGAATCTAATATGAACTGGACACGATTTTAGAAACTTAGAAATCTTGACTAGTAAAACTCACACAAACCTAGTAAAAATAGAAACATAAAAGACCCATAAATGATTGACCCATCTGGCTGAAAAATGAAAATTATGGATTAGCCCGTGTTTGGAAAGTCCAAAGTGCTAAAATACACCCACCCTGCTCCTAAATAAAAGAGAATATATATGAACTGAATCAGTTCCAAACTAACTTAAAGAAAAAACAGAAGAAAGCTTGATTAAAAGCAAGATCGATTATTAAAGTCCCTAGTGGTCCCTACTTATCCAAAAAAGAAAAAATTCCCAAGTGGTCCCATTTTGGAATTCGACCTGTTTCTAAGAATTCTCTTGTATTTAAATGTTCCTATTCGAGCTTCTTCTTCTTCAGATGAACTTTAATATCAAAGCAGCGTATTAGTGGGGGGTTGTCGCTTATTTGTTACACCTTATGTTGTCATCGTATCATGGGAAGGTTCATTGTTTACTTAAGATGGCGAATAGTTAGTCAGACCCATCAGTTGGTTGCGATGAGATGTAGAAAGATCTTTGGAGATTGCACCACCTTTGAGTGGGTCACAAATATTATATTTATGGGCCAAATTATTGCTTGTGTTTTTATTCACTGAATCACATTGTTAACTTTTATTTCTTTCTCTATTTACTTTGAAGCACAGCTTGATCACCTAATCAAGTGCTTAAGTCTGAAATTTTCAGAACTTACTCTACTAAAAGCGTTTAATAACCCACAATTAGTTATCTCTTAAAAAGAAAGTTCTGAAAAGGGTTTGAATTCACTGAATGCTAAATGTACAAGTGAAATGGTGTTCCTTCCTCTATTCCCTTCCTTCCAACCAAACAAGGGAAGTTTCTTTTATCCCTCCTCCCTTCCATCCTTCCTTCCAACCAAACATTGCATTAGTGAGCCCCCTAGTCTGAAGGTTGCTTTTCCAAGTCCGCAATCTATAACTTTCTGCTGCTGGCTGCTCCTAGAGTCCTGCTGAGTTTTCTGCCAAGAGGGTATTCTATTATAATGTTGGGTATATAAGGAGCACTAGAGTTGGTTCTGGAGCGAGACACTGCAGGTTTCAGTTCTGTATTCACAATTTGACATTATGGGTATGGTTTCTTCTGGATGTTTTAGATTTTATTTTTGGATTTAACTATATTTTGGTGTGTGGGATGATAGCATGTTCATGAACTTGTGGTTGTAATATTGGGGTTGTAGGAATGTAGCTAAATCTCCTTGTAAGCTCCCTACTGACCACCTTCATCGGTTGCAACTGAATATTATATTTTGTTCATTTACAGTAATTTTTGCATTGTAGCATGGGTTGATTATCCCTTTCCTTTTTGCCTTTATAGAAAACTTGCATGATGTATTTTTATTTTATTGTTTGTGGTCTCTTTCTCTAGGCACAATATTTTGTTAACGTCTTGTCTTAAATATCTAATATATTTTTTGTTTGTGGGCAGGCTCAATCCATGGAATTAATTCTACAACTTTGAGTATGTTGAATCTTTCGGCAAATGCGCTGTCAGGTTCTTTGCCTTCTTCTATGGGAAATTGTCTAAATGTGGATCTTAGCAGAAATATGCTCTTTGGTGACATCTCTGTTATGCAAAGTTGGGAAGCAAATTTGGAGGGTCTTGATTTAAGCTCTAATCAGTTAAATGGAAGCATTCCTAACTTGACTTCTCAGTTTCAGAAATTGACTACTCTTAACATTCGAAATAATTCTTTAGTAGGTACCCTGCCTCCTGAATTGGGGACCTTTCTGAGGCTATCTGCAGTTGACCTTAGCTTTAATAAACTTGATGGGCCTATTCCACGGAGTTTTTTCACTTCAATGATCTTGACAAGGCTGAATCTTTCAGGAAATCATTTTACAGGACCAATTCCTCTTCAAGGCTCACATACAAGTGAATTATTAGTTTTACCTTCTTATCCACAGATGGAGTCTCTCGATCTCTCTAATAATTCCTTATCAGGTACCTTGCCTTCAGACATAGGTAACTTGGGCAGGCTCAAATTGCTGAATCTTGCAAGGAATGACTTGTCAGGACGCATGCCAAATGAATTGAGCAAACTTAGCAGCTTGGAATACCTTGATTTATCCAATAACAATTTTAGGGATAAGATCCCTGATAAGCTTCCATCAACTCTAAAGGTATTCAATGTATCCTATAATGGTCTATCAGGACCTGTTCCAGAAAACTTGAGGAACTTCCCTCTAACTTCATTTCAACCTGGAAATTCATTGCTGATCTTCCCCAATGGCAAGCCATCCGAGAGTAGTAATCCTGTTGGAATTTCAGATGAAGGGAAACATCACAGTTCAAAATCTAATATTCGAGTAGCAATTATTGTTGCTTCAGTTGGGGCAGCTATGATGATTGCCGTTGTTCTACTGGCTTATTATCGTGCACAACTTCAGAATTTCCATTTAAGAAGTGGATTTAGTGGTCAAGCTACCAGTAGAGATGCTAAATTAGGAAGATTTCCTAGGTCTTCGCTCTTCAATTTTCATACAAATGTTGAGCCCCCACCAAATTCACTAAGTTTTTCCAATGATCATTTGCTAACTTCAAATTCAAGGTCATTGTCGGGACAGAGGGAATTTGGTACTGAAATTGTTGAGAACATTCTGCCTGAGTCAGTGGCTGCTAGTTCGGCACCCACGAATCCCAATGTGCCAGAAAATCATCCAGCAATACATGGAAGGAAGTCCTCTCCTGATTCCCCAGTATCTTCCTCGCCCCGATTCATTGAGGCGATTGAACAACCTGTGACGTTGGATGCATATTCTCCTGATCGGTTGGCTGGAGAACTTTTCTTCCTGGATTCTTCCCTAGCATTCACAGTTGAGGAATTATCTCGAGCTCCAGCAGAAGTTCTTGGTAGAAGCAGCCACGGCACTTTATACAAAGCTACTCTGGATAGTGGGCATATGTTGACTGTGAAGTGGTTGCGGGTAGGGTTGGTCAAACAAAAAAAAGAATTTGCCAAGGAAGTTAAAAAAATTGGCTCAATGAGACATCCAAACATTGTTCCATTACGAGCCTATTATTGTGGACCAAGAGAACAGGAGAGGCTTATTATAGCAGACTATGTCCAGGGAGAGAGCTTGGCTCAACATCTTTATGGTAAGAGCTTCAAGAATTGATATATGAACTATTTTTTTGTTCTTCATATTTTTCTCATGTTTTCATTTCCGCTTTTTTAATTTTTCCAGATACATGATATGGGGTTTTGAGCAGTCTGTTTGATTTACTCCAAATTTTAATTTGATTCTGTCTGTTAATACTATGCATTGTAATTATACCCCCTATTTATACTTTTGGCTCAACAGAAACATTGTGTGATTACTTGTTAAAATCTTTTTCTCACATCAATTTTTTCAAGAGGACCTGTGACATTCAGAAAATTAAAAATCCATTTTCAGGTTTGTTATGTTTGGTACCACCGAATTGGTGCTTTGGATTTGGGATTGGAGGAAGTTTAGTTGAAAATTTGTACTAAAGTTTCTCCAATCCCAAATCCAAGGCACGAATTCGGTGCCACCAAACATAGCAGTTATTGAATTCAATTGATACTGAAGGAAGAGATCCTGTCTTATGATATCATAGTCTTCAATAATCTAGGCTTTGTCGCAGAATTTACAAAATTGCCTTGTTGATTGTATCGTAGCAAACCCCATGTGTGGTATCTTGTAAAGCCATTCTGGCTATATTAAATTTTTGCCTGGGATTATGTTTTTTTACTTCTACTTTTATGTCTCGTTTGAATATTTAAGTGTCGAATTACATAAAGACTAGCATGAATGCCCAATTTATTTTGCATTATTTTTTATGAACTGAAACACATTGAGAATGAGATTCCATAGTGAATGCTATTTGCTTATCATATGTTTAAATTGATGAAGTTAAGAGCACAGATGAATGCTAATTAGATGTTTTTGAGAGAGGAGATAAGTAGGACTAAGACGAAATATAGAATGGAATTTTTGCAAGACTAGAAATAGAAGAGGAACGTATTGAAGCGAGGGTAAAAGATACCAAAAACTGATATTTTCATTTCCGAGGCTCGATTATTCACAAAGTGTGAGAAATTGGAGATTATGTTAATCATAAAATTGTAGAAGGATGAGTTAAATGGAGGAGTGATGGTGACATATTAAGTGATTAACAAATATCTAAAATGTAAAAAACTTTATAAAGCATCTATAGACTGGTAATACTTCTATAATTTTATAGAGGACGGGCATTGGTGCAACAGTAAGGTTACTCCATTGTGACCTGAAAAGTCATGGGTTCGAAATAGGATACAGCCTCTCCCAACGAGCAGGTAAGGCTGCGTACACCAAACCCTCCCCAGACCCTGCAGTGGTGGGAATCTAGTGCACTGGGCTAGCCTTGTAGACTGGTAACGCTTAAGGGACAAATTGTTGGGAGGCTAAGGAACAATATATTCATAAAATAAACGTGACTGAAATGCAAATGTTGAGTGGGATGTAAGGCAATACTAGAATGTAAATTTTTTGAAACAAATGCATTCATAAGATGGTAATGACATTGAATTGATTAAAATGGCTTGGCTGCCATTTGTTGTGAAGACCAATAAGTGAACCAGTGAAGGTCTGAAGGAAGAGAGATGTGGTCCGCATTGAGCATGATCCTAGAAAAGGGGAAGACCAAAACTAGCATGGGTTGATATGGTAACAAAAGATATAATAGGTTGTGGTTACTGGTTTCATTGAGCTTATTGGCCTTAAATAGAGTAGAATGATCAAAGATGATTCATGTGGCTGATTCAAATAGTTATGAAAAGGATTTGATGAGTATCTCCTTAAATAGAAATGCGGTGGACTTGGATTTCAGAATTGTTTTTAGTTACTTCATTGCAGAAAACACTTATCCTGCTGATCTTCCATAAGCATTTAGTAATTGCAGAGAATGCAGAGGTCATGCAAGATTTACTCAAAGTTAGGTCCACTCTTTGCAATCATATAAGTGAATCTTGTGCCAAGGAGACATGAAATCTGAATTGATCTTGGAAATATCTTGATGAACTTTCCTACTGGGAGAGTGGTTATCTTATTGCTAGCTTTATGTTTTGGTAACTAGGTGTTGTTCCAATTATGCAAGTCAGCCAGATTATGTGTGGTTCGCTTTCACCTCACATGCAGTTATGTTGTCAAACAATGTTACAATGGTTAGGCTTGTTATTTCCATGCCTATCGTGGGTCAACTTATAAAAAACTGGAAAAAACGGAGAAAACTAAAATAACAGAAGCCCATGAGATTTTTACAGCTCTGTTTGGTACAGTACGTATGTCCAATAGATTATTGCTATAAATTGTGACAGAGCATTACCGTGCATAAATGTTAAACAAAATCATTAATTCTAAATATGTTATAATAACTGTGTTATGAACCTCTATAAGCTGTTGTAAGTGAGCATTTAATTAAAGTAGCCCTTTCTTGGATTGAAGCTTTTAGCTGAAATGCTGACATTTATATTAATACATCACTTTGAATATACAAGTTAAGCACAAGTGTCCTAGTAAATTGATGGAATCTAATCCTAGTATTTGAACAAAATCTATATGATGCATGACTGCAACTCTCAACTTTTGAGGTTTATAGACTTTTAACCCATTTTTCTATTTTCTCTAATTCATTTTACTTTACTTTAGTTATTTACTTTTATATTAATTCTTTCACTGCTAGATGAGGCACCCACAAATACACACACACACACTACACATATATCAACTCAAGCTGTTCACATAAATTACAGTGTCCACCGAGATATCATACCTGTATTCACATGCACACTTGTGCAGCCACATTTATTGGTCCCACACCACCTAACTTGCACACTAGCATAATTTACCGGGGAAAAGCCTTTTGAGGTTTGTGTGTGACTGACTAGGCTAACACCATGGATGGTTTTAGCAGTACTCGTATTTTGGATGTCAATGATGGCATTTTATGCAATGAGGATTTATCCTAGTTTTGAGTCTCTCTTCAATGTGTATCTTATGCAGAGACAACGCCTCGGAGGTACTCTCCACTGTCGTTCAGCCAAAGATTGAAAGTTGCTGTTGATGTTGCTCGGTGTCTGGTGTACCTTCACGATCGAAGCCTGCCTCATGGTAACCTAAAGCCAACAAATATACTCCTGGGAGGTTCTGATCTACAAGGTTGCCTTACTGATTGTGGGCTCCACCGCTTGATGACGCCAACAGGCATTGCAGAGCAGATATTGAATCTGGGAGCACTTGGATACCGTGCTCCAGAACTTGCTACTGCAGCAAAACCAATCCCATCATTCAAGGCTGATGTGTATGCATTTGGAGTTATTCTGATGGAAATATTGACCAGAAGAAGTGCTGGTGATATTATATCAGGTCAATCTGGTGCTGTGGATCTTACGGATTGGGTTCGGCTGTGTGATCAAGAAGGACGCCGAATGGACTGTGTAGACAGAGACATTGCAGGAGGGGAGGAACCCTCGAAAGCAATGGATGACATGCTTGCAATATCACTGAGGTGTATTCTCCCTGTAAATGAAAGGCCTAACATCAGACAAGTCTTCGAGGATCTCGGTTCTCTCTCTGTTTGAAATTTTTGTACATGCGTCTTGGAATTAATTTTTTTGTTCCATGACTTCATTGTTTATTTTCATTTTCTTCTTAATTGGTTTCCTAGCCTCTAATCTGGGCTGATTATCACATTATTTTTCTTAAATTTTTGTGTAAAGGGATGATTGATCCGTTGATTGATTGACAGTGTTTCGATTTGATCTTGAACTGGAAAGAATTGCAGTTCCTTTTGTTGTCATTGCTTCTTCTGCTCTCGGATATTGCATCTAGAAATCATTTGACAAACAAAATGACTTAAGAGTGTCTTTTATTTCGATGGTAATCACTTATATAATAATCATTCAAAACATTTTTATTATAAAAGAGAACAAAGAACACGGTAAGTTACCAAATGCGTTAAATACAACCATATTATTTGAAACCTATATTTGTTAAATTTGAAGTCAGTCGTTTGGATAGAAAATTGGTTGCTTTAATCAGGTTCAACAAATCTTCGACTGACATGAATAATTTATTTGGTTTGGTAGATTAATTACAAAGAATAAGAATATCTCAAAGAATATCTCAAAAATCACGAGTAACAACAATACTCGAGTCATGAGGCATTCCTTGTTTCTTCTTCACCCATTGCTAGTGTCCCGAGCTGGGGAAGCATCTCATATTTTCCTTACCAGTGGTGTCCTTTTGTTTCATACAAAGTAAATACAATGTACTTTAACATAAGGCTGGAATTCGAATTCAGGTGCAGCTTAAAAAATAAAAAGCACCGTATGCAGCTGAAATCCGAAACATTTGTTATAATACTGATATCAAAAAGTTAAAACTGAAACAAGAAGTGAGAACTTATATCTGCTTTTGCTCCTCCTCTATTTTCTATTGCAAATTTCTTGATTACAAAGGATACAAATTGGTTTGACAAACCTGCCTACATCCATATTGTTAAAGGAATTACGAAGGATAAAAATGCATAAAATCCACAACCGAAAGTAAAGTAATACCTGAAAAACTAGAATTTGTTATTCATTCTCGAGACAGTTCAGATTCTTCAAAACCTACATATGATCCTAGGTAAGTGCTTTGCCCTCGTATCCTTTTTCAGATATTGAAAATACCCTAAAACAGAAACTACATTCAGATTAGGTTATGGTTCTCTTTCACCTTTAGAGGCATTTATGTTGCCAGACAATGTTCCAGTGTTATGTGCTAATGGCCATGTTTGTGTGGGGCAGTTAGAAAATTACAAAAGAAAAGCAATATAACAGAATCCCCTGTGAATTCTAACATCTCAGCTTAGTATACCACATATCTTCCATATGCCAAGTTTTAGGTGTCCAATGCATTAATCTCTACAAATTGTGTAGAAGCATTACCATAGTTAAATATTATCTTAAAAACACAAAAACAAAAAAACAATAATTCCAAATGTGATAGTATAAACTAAGTTTAGCTTGAGGGGGGAGGGTTGAGTATCAACTAGGAAAAAAAAAGTTTTGCATTTCAAATTTCAATACACAAACACACACATAAAAAATAAATGTTGGCATTTTAATACAAAAGCCCTTAATAATAACTAACACCTTTTCCAGGATTGAAGCAAATGCAGCATTAGAACATCAGTTATTCTAATGTTCTAATGTTGAACTAAAAAGAACTGCAAATCTCAATGTGTTTTCATTGTTTCTGCCAACAAATATCAGGGATGATTCATAATAGCAACTCAAACATAAATCTATAGCAATACATCTAGAAGTTATTTGACAAACAAACTGGCTATCCATTTCCATCATACAAAATCATGCCCCTTTGCAAAGAACAAAGAAAGAACAACTTAAACATCAGCCATGAACAAACCAAATCTGTGAAATATACTCAGCATCCTTCGATAAATTCATCATCACTTCAAAATAAAAGGTATATTGATGCAATGCTAGAATCAACATCCATGAAAAGCTAAAATCCAAACACATTTGCAATATACAGGAACTAAAGACAGAAATACTGAAACTATTCTAGGAAGAGAAAAGAAAAAAAATAAAGGGCAAGGATAAGTGAGAACATTTAACGTGGTTTCATTCTTCGTACTCTCTCTTGCAGTTTTCTTGGTTCCTCCAACTCCAAGCTTTCCTTTAAGAAAATTATAAGCTTTTTCTTGAGTAACTGCTGCATTCGAAGACTAGGCTTGCCCCCTTAAGACTTGATTCACTTCCTAAAGAAAGACTAAGCTCTCCATGTAAGTATCAACGTACAATGATTTCAGCTTACCAGATTTCCGTATCCGAAGATCCTTAACTTGTTGAGACTCTAGGTTAATTGAAAACATGCGATTTTTTCTAAGGAAAAGAAGGTCACCATTCCTCCTGAAACCAAGTATTCCCCCAAAATCACTACCCAAATCAAAAGTGAACAGTTTGGTCCGAGATTGTACAACACCATATTCTTTCATCACCCATATTGAAACTTTGCTAACCAAGGAATCAAAATGGCACGGACAAAGTGACTCCCTAAGCACTGAAACAGCCAAATGTGCCACAACCCATTCATTTTCTAGACCAGTTGGGAGCTTCATCTCACAGAATACCTCACTGCTCATATCAAATGTCAAGATTGAAATATCAGAAGCAGCAACCTTATCACATCCAAACCAATGGACAGCCCCATTGACAAAAGCCTGAGACAGTAGAGTACAACGGATATGATGATGGGGACCAACACCGCAAATCCTTCTCCAACATCCTCTATTAAGAAAGTAAAGCTCAACCTCAGGATCTGGAAAATTGTCTATGCAAGAAACACCTTCTAACCACCTTGTAATCATTAGTTTTGGAATCAAAGCCGTATCCAAGAAACACCTTATGATCAGTACCAGTGTGCGAATCAATGCCAATGCTAGGCATTGGGAGCCTTATAGATTTTCTAAGACTGGGATTCCAAAGAATTAAACTATTCGGATTACGAAAGACATTAACACTGAGAAATACCATACCATTACAAGCACCAAATATGCGGAAATGAGAACCACAGTCTGGGATTGGGCCTTGAAGTTCTTGCAGAGTTGTCTCTTATTAATGTAACGCACGAGGATAAGTGTATCAAGAGTTGTCGATTTTGTTCAAAAGAATTGTTTGATTGAGCTTTGAAGTGATGAAATTAGGGCTAGCGATTACAGAACACCATGATTTACAAATTTTTACCGGTAGTCTTGTGAGGATTTCAGTTACCAATTCGTCGGCAGAAGGTCCGCCATTGTTCAGATTCGAAGGTGAGTGCGAGAAGAACGAGCTTTCTTTGTCGGGTTTCGCAAAAGGTCGGCCATTGTTGAGATTCGAAGGTGAGAGAGAGAACGAACTTTCTTTTTAGGGCTTTTGAAAACCTAGGAATCTTGAAAACCCTAAGAATCTTGAGATATCGACGATAATAAGAGTGAGCCCTAGAATCTTGAAAACGCTCCATCCAGATTCACACCATCTTCACTAACTTTCTTTGTCTCTATCTCTTTTCAGAGTGGTATATACCAGAAATAGCAGTACTTTACTATAACGGTAACCCAACCAAGTTGATATTTATTTACGAATTATTTTTAAATTTTATATAAGTCCAAAATATGTTGAACACATCTTTTTAAAATTTTTATTATATAATTCAATAAAAATAAATTTTAATCTTTTAATTAATTATTAAATAATATTTAATACATGTAATGACCTAAATTAAAAAGGGAGAATAATCATTTTTAATAAATTAATGGGTAATAATAAAGAATCAAACATGAAATAAATAAATTTTGATATCACATAACATTTGGAAATTGAAAACAGAAAATAAATCAGTACAAATATATAATTTTTCAACATATAAAATCACTGTATTTATGATCACTTTTATTATGCTTCTGTACAATATTTACTTCGAGTGAAATAGTTTCTTAATTCCTTGCTTAAGTGAATCTCAACTTGTGCCTTTTACCGCTTAAAATAAATAAATAAATAAAATTATTGCTGCTTGGCGCTGAGATTTATTAACTTGCAATTTTTAAAAGGAATCAAGGAACAAATCGTGTCTTCATTTTCATTAATTTTCATTGCTATTGTTTTTTTTTTTTTTCGTTTTATACAACCCTTTCCTATTAGAATATAGGAGTACTTATTACCTTTGGGTGATATTTTTTATTTTGCAACCTCAATTTGACATTTATTTTTTATTTTTTATTTTTTTGATAATCAAAAGGTTTGGCCCATCATATCAACATTTGAAACGGTATCCAAGAACAACCCTATGAATGTCAATGTCAGAGGATGGAAGCCCCAGAGTCCACTTGCACAGTCCGTCAAAGCACCATTTTTTTTTTTTAAAAAAAAACAAATTAATCCACCTACTTATAAAATTACTAAGAATGAGATAACATGTTATATTTAATTAGAAATTTACAAAAGAAAAGCACAAAAAACCAGTGGTGAATTCTAACATCTCACTTTGATGCATCACATATCTCCCATATGCCAAGTTTTAAGCTGTCCAATGGATTGATCTCTACAAATTGTGCAGAAACATTACCATATTTTAAATTTTAAAACAAAACCAACAACTCCCCAAATATGATAGAATAACTGAGATATGCATTTTCCAGGATCGAAGCTTTTAGCTGAAATGAAACATTACAACATTATGAATTCTAATTTAACTGCCAAGTATTCAGCTAATTTGATGAAATCTAATCAAGTAATTTGAAACAATCTAAAAGTTGCAGATTGCAATCCGAATTTTGAGGGGTCGTCTGTCTGTGTGTTAAGGACGAGGAGACAGAGACATTGCAGGAGAGGAGGAACCCTAAAAACATAAATTGGTTGCAGTGTCACTGAGGGGTGTCCTTTCTCTAAATGAAAGGTCTTACATTACATAAGTCTATGAGGAGCTCTGTTCTCTATCTGCTGGAAATTTTGTTCCTGTGTTGATTCTCATTTTTTATCTTCTCCAAAATTGCTTTCCGACCCTACTAACCTGCGTTAATTATCACGTTATTTTTCTAAATATTTCTCCGTAATCAGACAATCAGATTAGTTACTGATAGAGAGTATCTTCAGTTTGATCTTCAACTAAAAAGAAGTGCAAATCTTAATGTTCCCATTGTTTCTGCCAACACTAGTATTGAGGATAAATCCATAATAGCAAATCAAACATTAATCTTAACATTACATCTGCAAGTCATTTGACAAACAAATTGGCTGCCATCTACCTTTTCCTGCACCAAAATCCTCTTCTGGTCATATGCTCTCTTGATGAACCACCACCACCACTGCGATCGACCTACCCCCACCATCAGCATACCCCACAATCACTGTTATTCCACTAGCCCCTCAACTAATCCAAATACCATGTGATTGGTATTGGTATTGCCCACCCAATAAAAATCCCACCACACAATGGAAGTGATCCCACCATGGTAGATTTTCATTAGGTGGTATGCCCTGTGCACCTAATATCTACTCCTCTTTCAAAAAAAAAACTGCAAATCATAATGTTTCTGTGAACAAATATTGGGGATGATTAACAAGAGCAAATCATAATGTTTCTGCCAACAAATATTTGGGATGATTCATGATAGCAACTCAAACAGAAATCTCTAACAAAAACCTAAAATCTGAACACATTTGCAACATACTGGAACTAAAGGAAGAAATACTGAAACTATGCTACCAACAACTGCAAATCATAATGTTTCTGTCAACAATTATTGGGGATGATTAACAAGTGCAAATCATAATGTTTCTGCCAACAAATATTTGGGATGATTCATGATAGCAACTCAAACGGAAATCTCTAACAAAAACCTAAAATCTGAACACATTTCCAACATACTGGAACTAAAGGAAGAAATACTGAAACTATGCTACCAACAACTGCAAATCATAATGTTTCTGTCAACAAATATTGGGGATGATTAACAAGTGCAAATCATAATGTTTCTGCCAACAAATATTTGGGATGATTCATGATAGCAATTCATACAGAAATCTCTATGCCAAGTTTGAAGGTTTCCAAATCCAATGGATGGGTTAATCTCTACAAATTGTGAAGGAGCCTTACCATACATAAATATTATACAAAACCAATAACTCCAATTACGATAAGAGTAAATAAATTATGCATTTTCCAGGATTGAAGCTTATTAGCTGAAATGAAACATTACAGCATTATTAATTCTAATTACCCGCCAAGTACTAAGCTAATTTGAGGAAATCTAATCAAGTACTTTCAAACAATCTAAAAGTTGCACGGTGCAATCCTCATTTTTAGAGGGCTTTGTGTCAAGGACGAGGAGAAAAGCAAATTGCTTGCAGCATCACTAAGGTGTATCCTTCGTGTTAAGGACACAAGTCTTTGAGGATCTCTGTTCTATATCTGCATCAAATTATTTTTTTGTTACATAACTACGTGTTATTTTTCTAAAAAATTGTGTAAAGGGAAGCTCAATCTGTTGATCAACTGATTGAGAGAGTATCTTCAGTTTGATCTTGAACTAAAAAGAACGGAAAATCTTAATGTTCTCATTGTTTCTTCCAACACATATCGGGGATGATTCATAATAGTAAATCAAACATAAATCTCTCACACTACATCTTAAAGTCATTTGACAAACAAACTGCCCAACCTTTTCTTTCTATTGGCAATTTTTACTTCCATCTGTTTGCAAAGAAAAAGAATAGGGCAAGTCATCATGCAAGTTAAACATCAGCCATGAATGAACCAAATCCGTAAAATATATAATAAAGCATCATCATTTTAAAAGAAGAGGTACAGCATTCATGAAAAGCTATAATCTGAAGTTCTGAACGCATTTGCAATATACCGGAACTAAAGACAAATACTGAAACTTCAAGACTAGGCTTGCCCCCTTAAGACTTGATTCACTTGCCAAGGTAAGACTAAGCTCTCCATGTAAGGAACGACGTAGAGTGATTTCAAAACACCAGACAACCGAATTCCAAGATCCTTAACTTGTTGAGACTCGAGGTTAATTGTAAACATGTGATCATTTCTTGTATAGAAAAGAAGATCACCATTCCTCCTGTAACCAAGCGTGTGCCCCGCAAAAACTCTGTCAACATCAAAAGAAAATACTTTGGTCCAAGATTCTACAACACCATGTTCTTTCATCAACCATATTGAACCTTGGCTAACCGAGGAATCAAAATGGCCCAGACAAAGTGACTCCCTAAGCACTGAAACAGCAAAATGTGTCCTCACCCATCCATGTCCTGGAGCTGCCGGCGGCTTAATCGTACAGAATACCTCACTGCTCATATCAAATGTCAAGATTGAAATATCTTTAGCAGCATCCAAATTGCATCCAACCCAATGGACAATCCCATTGACAAAAGCCTGAGCAGGCTGAAATGGAATTGGAGGAAAACAGAAACGATTATGAGGACCAACAACACAAATTCTTCTCCAACATTCTCTATTAAGAGAGTAAAGCTCAACCTCAGGATTTGGAGAATTTGTGAAGAAACTAATTCTGACCACCTTATAATCGTTAGTTTTGGAATCGAAGCCGTATCCGTCGACAACCCGATACCGAAAATCAGTGTGCAAAATCAATGGCAATGGTGGGCATTGTAAGCCGCGCAGATTCTCTAATACTCGGATTCCACAGAATTAAAGTCTTTACATCATCAAAGACATTATCATAAAGACATACCAAACCATTACAAGAACCTAGTATGTGGAATTCAGAACAACAGTTTGGGATTGGGCCTTCAAGTTCTATAGCACATCTACCCTGTCTTTCATCATACAAATTTACTGAAAAACGACTTCTTTCTTTATGTTTCTCATTAACGTAATACGCGATGAGGTGTGTATCAGTGTTGTTGATTTTGTTCATATGGATTGTTTGATTGAGCTTTGAAGTGTCAGGGCTACTGATTAGAGAACACCATGATTTACAAACGCACCTGAAACCCCTTTTCTTTCCCTAAAACACACTTCGGTATGCGACTCCTCCCTGTCCGTGTAGGACAAGGATCCTCTCCGGCGCACAAAATTCAAAAGTTGAGATTGAATAGGACCTATCATTAGATTTTGTGTAGGAACTCTCCTGCACGGAAGAGGATCCTTATCAACCTCTCACACCCTCCTACAAAGTTTTATTTATTTTAATTTTAATTATTTATTTTAACCAAACAAGATATTTTTGAAGAAAAAGGATATTAGTCAGACGAATGTGACCGAATATTTCAGGCAGGTAAATTAATCGGACCAATTGGACTTTGGAACACTTGAACTCATTTATTTGAACATTTCATAAATTTTAATGTTTTTAGACATAAATTTAGCACAATTTTTAATTATTATGTTTTAGTGTTTCCTATTTACTAAATAAATAAACATTTTTTTGTTCTTGATTAGAGTTACATCATTTTATATTTCAATAAGAGTTAAAATCAATTAGGCCTTTGGTGTTGTTATACTGTTATAGGATTTACTTTATTTACAAAATTCGATCTCTTACAGTAATCCAAAAGGTTTGGACTCCAACAATGACTCATTTTCAAAGGAGGAAATACCATTAAATTTTCAGGTGATTTCACAAAATACGTTTGTCCGTATTTATTGCTCCATATTTTAACTCAATTCAATCAAATATATTTAACAACTAATTTGGATGATACATAAATCAATCTTAATTTTTTTTTTTTTCATTTGCGCTAGCCTCTATTCAATATTATATATGTGATCTCACATTGTCGGCAGTAGTTGTGATGTAGCGCTTGTTTGGATGCCTCGTAACCATGTGATGTAAATCATTTTTGAAAATTGCTAATACGAAAAGTAAGCAAATTGGACAATGTTTACCCAGCGAAATAAAATGCAAGTTAATTTCGAGAATGGGGAGCTTGTCAACACAATATACATAGTCAAAATCACACATAAATTAAAACGCTTGAAAAAATTGATGGGATGGTATTTAATTTCAAGTGAAACTGCCTTTATATGTCTGATAGTAAAATCTTTACATCTTGTTTGGATGGAGGGAAAAACAAGAAAGAAAAAGTGAACAGGGGATAACTTACCTTGTACTAGGTATTTGTTCTGAAAATGTGGAAGAAAGGGAATAAGGATAGAGAAGGAAGCACAAACCCTTTGAATAGTGCAGGAAAAAAAAAAAATTGGAAGAAAAGAATAAGTTATAATTATCCATTTTGTCATTTTATTAAAATATACGTGTTAAACTCATGTCTGACTTTGACCTCTCGTGTACCTGTGTGTACCTGTGTGATGCATTGTCGAATGGTTCAAAACAAGTCACAATTTTGAAACACTTTTACATCTATTTTCTTTTGAAGAATGATAGGGAGAGCGATGAATTAATCCCGAATAAGTATCGAATCTGACGTATTTTTGTCCACCTCATCTACTTAAGCAATTTCCAAAAATAATTATTTAACACGTGATAAGAATAACCAACCACATCAAATTCGATACTAATTCGGTGATACGGTTCCTGTCCTAACTCTTTTCTTTTATATAAGTATGAAGTGGCTAGGAAGCACCTGTTTTGCCCCTTAATTCCTTTTTCAGATATGAGAGTACCCTATAACAGAAAGTAGGCTCAGATTAGGTTTTACTCTTCTCTCAGCTCACTTGCAAAGTATATATAATATTGGGTGTGCCAGCTTCTTGTCAAGGAAAATATATATAAAAACTGGCACACCCAATATTTGCCTCTACGAGGACTTTCTTCCTCGCCCTTCGACCTTTTTATGAAGAGAAGAAACAACAGAGCACAAAAACTAAAACTGGGAGGACAGAGCTCGATGGCGGACAAAAGGCATGAGGGGGCACACCTCCCAGAAGAGATCAGAGGTGCTAGAGGAAATACGAGCTCTACTAATAGCGTGGGCAACTCTATTGCCAGAGCTAGGAGTTCACAGTGAAGACGAAAAAGAACAACTAGGAAGAAACTCAGTGACAGTAATGTCAAGTGCTTATGGCCATGTTTGTGTGGGGCAGTCGGAAAATTACAAAAGAAAAGCAAAAATTATAGAAGCACCCGTGAATTTCAACATCTCAGTTTGATATAGCACAAATCTCCCATATGCAAGTTTTAAGGTGTCCAATGGATTAATCTCTACAAATTCTGTAGGAGCATTAAATACTGAACCAGACCAGTAACTCCAAATATGATAAGAGTAATTGAGTTGTGCATTTTACAGGATTGAATCTTTTAGCTGAAATTAAACATTAGAACATTATTAATTTTAAGTACCCTCTAAGTATTCAGCTAATTTGATGAAATCTAATCAAGTACTTTTGACACAATCTAAATGTTGCAGATTGCAATCCTAATTTAAAGCAAATTGCTTGCAGTATCACTAAGGTGTGTCCTTTCGCTAAATGAAAGGCCTTGCGTCACACAAGTCTTTGAGGAGATCTGCTCTCTATCTGCTTGAAATTTCTAGATCTGTCCTAATTTAAAGCAAGGTGGCAATCATTTTCGTTCGATGGTAGTTTTTCTTCCGTCATGCAAAATCATGTCCCATGGCAAAGTATAAAGAAAGAATAAGGCATGTCATCAAACAGGTGAAACATCAGCCATGAATGAACCAAATCCAAAATATAATCAATATCATTCAAGTAAATGAATCATCACTTTAAAATACGAGGTGCAACATTCATAAAAAGCTAAAATCTGAACAAATTTGCAATATACTGGAACTTAAGAGCCTTAATTATTTTCAAATTTCTAGGTCTCACACTAAAATCTTAACATCTAATTTAGATTGAGGGAGAGAGAGTAATTGACTTGATTCACTTCCTACAGTAAGACTAAGCTCTCCATGTAAGTATCAACATACAATGATTCCGGAAGACAAGATAGCGATTTTCCATGATTCCTAACTTGTATAGACTCGAGCGTAATTGAAAATATGTAATAATTTCTTCTAAATAAAATAAGTCCATTTGTCCCCAAACAAGGTAGTTTTCCCCCAAAACCTCTATTCAAATCAAAAGTGAATAGTTTGGTCCAACCTTCTACAACACCATATTCTTTCATCAGCCATATTGAAAATTTGCTATACAAGACATCAAAATGGACCATACAAAGTGACTCCCTAACCACTGCAACAAACAACTGTGCACCACCAAACCATATATTGGACCTGCTGGCAACATCATCTCACTGAATACCTCACTCTGCTCATATCAAATGTCAAGAATGTATCATCATAAGAAGCATCCATAACGCATCCCACCCAACGGATAACCCCATTGACAACAGCCTGAGATAGAAGTGGAGTACAACGGATGCGATGATGGGGACCAACAACACTAATTCTTCTCCAGCATCCCCTGCAGGAACTGGACCATCAAAATTTTCGATGCAATTCTAACTATACCTCAGGATCTGGACCACTAAATCTGTAAACGATCAGATAATAATACAATATTTAACATGGTTCAATAATTTATTCAAAGTACTGTTTGTACAACAAATAAGAATCCCCTTCGTTACATGATTTCTTCTTCATATAGATAGATATAGGATCTATGAGACAATAACTTACAAGTACATTTTGTGCAACAGCCATTCCTATATGATAGGAAAGGATCCATAATCCTGAACCGATCTTAGCTGGTATTGCAAATCCCAAGTTTGTCTATCCTCAACAGAAATCTCTAACATTAACGTTACACCTAGAAGTCATTTCAACAAACAAACTGGCTATCATTTTCTTTTGGAAACTTTTACTTCCATCACATAAAATCATGTCTCTTTGCAAAGAATAAAGATAGAATAAGGCAAGTCATCAAACAAGTTAAACATCAGCCATGAATGAACCAAATCCATGAAATATAATCAATATCATTTGGTAAATGAATGACTACTTTTAAATAACAGGTATATTGATGCAATGCTGTAATTAAAATTCATGAAAAGCTAAAATTTGAGAACACTTTTTTTTTTCCCCAAGTAAACTTTTATTAACAAACAACTAAACAAAACACAAACAAAGTAAGATCTCCCAGAAACAGCACAATTCAAAAGTTGGCTACCAGGAAACAAAGCAAGAAGAAACCCACAAAAGCAAAGGAAATACAGTACAAAACAACAGAGATATAACCTCCCACTCAGATTAGTTCCCATTGTTTCTACCAACAAATATTGAGGATAAACCATAATAGCAAATCAAACATTAATCTCTAACATTACATCTAGAAGTCATTTCACAAACAAATTGGCTATCATTTCTTTCGATAGTAATTTTTACTTCCATCATATAAAATCATGTCCCATGGCAAAGAATAAATAAAGAATAAGGCAAGTTATCAAACACGTGAATGATGAATGAACGAAATCCATAAAATATAGTCAATATCGTTCGAGTAAAGAATCATCACTTTAAAATAAGACATGCAACATTCATGAAAAGCTAAAATCTGAACAAATTTGCAATATACTGGAACTAAAGACAGAAATACTGATACTATGCTACGAAGAAAAAAGAAAAAAGGGCAAGGATAAATGAGAATGTTTCTGGTGGTTCATTCTTCATTCTCTCTCTTGCAATTTTCTTGATTCCTCCAACTCCAAGCTTTCCTTTTAAGAAAATTATTAGTGACAGCTGCACTAGAAAACTAGGCTTCTTAAGACCTGATTCACTTCCTAAAGTAAGACTAAGCTCTCCGCTACATGAGGAACAGCGTAAAATGTTTCCGGATCACCATATAACCGTATTCCAACATCCTCAGCTTGTTGAGAATCTCGGTTAATTGAAAACATGTGATCATTTCTTTTAAAGAAAAGAAGATCACCATTCCTCCTGAAACCAAGTAATAGCCCAAAACCTTCATCCACGTCAAAAGAGAATGATTTGGTCCAAGATTCTACAACACCATATTCTTTCATCACCCATATAGAAACTTTGCTAACCAAGAAATCAAAATGCCCAAGACAAAGTGACTCCCTAAGCACCGAAACAGCCATACGTGCTCCGACCCAGCCATTTGGTGGAGCTGGTGGTGGCTTCATCTTACAGAATACCTCACTGCTCATATCAAATGTCAAGATTGAAATATCAGAAGCAGCGTCCAAATTGGCTCCGGCCCAATGGACAATCCCGTTGACAAAAGCCTGACATGGAAGTGGATAAAAAGTGAAACGATGATGGGGACCAACACCACAAATTCTTCTCCAACATCCTCTATTAAGAGAGAAGAGCTCAACCTCAGCATCTGGAAGATCATTGATGTAACTAATTCTAACCACCTTATAATCATTAGTTTTGTAATCGAAGCCATACCCATCAACAACCCTACGCAGGCCATGTGAATCAATGCCAATGCTGGACATTGGAAGCCTCATAGATTTTCTAATACTTGGATTCCACAAAATTAAATTATTCAACTTATTAAAGACACTATCAAAGACGTTATCAGAGAGACATACCAAACCATTACAAGAACCAAATATGTGGAATTCAGAATGACAGTACGGTATTGGGTTTTCAAGTTCTATAAAACAACTACCGTCATAGAGAATTACTGAAAAACGACCTTCTCCTCCTGCTCCTTCTTCGTAGTCATTAATGTAACGCCCAATGATATGTGTATCAGTGTTGTTGATTTTGTTCAAATGGATTGTTTGGTTGAGCTTTGAAGTGATGAATTTAGGGCTACTAATTAGAGAACACCACGATTTACAAACGCACCTGAACTTGAGAAGTGCTCTCACCGGTAGTCTTGTGAGGATTTCAGCAATCAATTCTTTGGGTAAACGGTCCGCCATTGTTGAGATTCGTAGGTGAGCGAGAGAGTGTGTGCTGTCCCTTTAGGGGTTTCGAAAACCCTAGAAATGCTGAGATAATCAACGATGGATAAGAGTGCAACACTTGTAGTCTTCTCGTGACCAACCTTCGCCAGCCTTTCCCTTATTAAAAAAATTGGGTGGGTAAAGTTTCTTTTACATAAAAATTTGATCAAATTACCCTACGATAGTTTAGGAAGAAAAAAAAAAAAAACTTTATATTGTTTACTTATTTTATTTTATTTTTTTGGTTGTTTACTTTATAAATGTCCCAATTTCTTTCTAAAAAATATAGACGTCTAAAATGATTTTTTTGATTTAATACATATATTTTAAATAAATTATATTTTGTTATTACTTCTTTTTTTTTTTTTTTTAATTAAGATGCTTAATTCTTTCATCTAAAAATTTAAATCAATTTCTTTTCTTTAAAAATAAAAAATATAGTACCAATATAACTTTATGCATCTTAAATTATATATAAAATATTATGCATTTCTCAACATAAAAGAAAATAGGTACCAGTATAACTTTCTGCATCTTAACTTTATGCATGCCTTTTTTTTTCCCCTTTGTTTTATTATTATTTTTTCTATTTGTTTTATTCTTTTTTTCCATTTGTTTTATTATTAATTTTTTTTCTTTTTATGTTGCAAAATGCATAATATTTGATATATAATTTAAGATGCATAAAGTTATACTGGTACCATTGTTTTTATTTTTAAATAAAAAAGATTGGTTTAATTTTTTTAGATGAAAGAATTAAGTATCTTAATTTAAAAATAAAAAAGAAAAAGAAATAGAAAAAGAAAAGAAGTAATAATAAAATATAATTTACTTGAAATATATGTATTGGATCAAAAAATCATTTTAGATGTCTACATTTTTAAGAAGTTGGAACATTTATAAAGTACAAAAAAAAAAAAAAAAAAAATGTGACCAATATATAGTTTTTTTTTTTAATACATAAATTGTTCATGAGGGTATATTGGTCTAATTTATTAAATTATAAAGTTAAAAAAGTCTTCTAAACGGTCAAAAGGTAATTTGGTTAATTTTTCATATAAAGGGATGTCTTTGTCCATTTTTGAACCTTAAGGGAGTGTTTTTGTTCAAAAAATAAGTAAGTTTCCTCTGAATATCCTTTTGTCAAATCTCAAGGAGTGTGACTGTACTTTACCTTAAAAAATAAAAAAATGAGCACTGAATTAATGTATAATAATAGATTTAAGAATGAAATAAATAAAAAAATCATATCATACGTAACATTTGGAAATTAAAAACAGAAATAAAAATAAATACAATCAAGAATTTATTTATTTCCTTTGTAGATACTCACACTTCATCACCTCCCGAAATTACTACTATTTGCACCCAAAATGAGTCAAACTTTAGATCTAACCTGATGCATCAGCACCACGACCAAATTAGTAAAGACCTAGAGTTAACCCTTCGAATGAAATTACAATCAAGATTCAACACCTAATCTAACCACATTGGCAAATGGCTTAGTGAAATTAGCATTACATTTTAGGGTGCACAAAAAACTAGGACGGAGCCAGAATTTTATTTCCCGCCTGCCCGCAGGGGGAGGGTAGGGGTTAAATTTTTTTTTTTTATTAATATAATTATTTTTAAATAAAAAAGACAAATAAGAAAAAAATAGTTGTAAAATATTATGCTAAATAAATACTGTAAAAAAAATATTTATAGTTACAAATATAAAAATCAAAATATTAATTAAAAATATTTTAATTAAATACATTCACAAATGTCATCGATAAAAAGAAATAAGTTTAAAAAAATAGAAAAATACATAATTATACATAAGTGAGAACAAAATTTTTTTGAAAAAGGAAACAAAAATTAAAAAAGGAAAAATATATTGTATACTTGAAGAAGGGATATATGTAACTCTTTTTTATTTCAAAAGGAAATGAAAAGAATTTGAAAATTTGAGGGGGCACTATTTAAAATTACCATGTAAGTATATGTATATACCAAAAATATGTACATATGTATAGTAGGTTGAAGCAAAGTGAGGGAAGGCACATGCCCCTCTAGTCCTTAATTGGCTCCGCCCCTGCAAAAAACTAGTTAAATGATAAACAAAACGGATATGTTTGATTCGATTTTTTTATGGTTTGGTTCAATTACGATTCTAAAAATATGGAACCATTTATAAATTGTTCGGTTGCGATTTGAAATTTTACAAGAACAAATCAAAATGTACGATTTTATAAATTATATATATATATATATATATATATATATATATATATATATATTTATATACTTTGTATTATATAAAAACCAAAATAATAACCACTCAACCATATATCATAACATATAATAATAAATTATATTATAATAGAAAGTCGCATTTATAAAATATATATTTTTAATTAATTATATGTATATATATTCGATTGAATTATAAAAAATGAAAAATTTAGAATTGTGAAATTAAACCGAATCGAATTATTATTTTTTTTACGATTTGATTTGATGCAATTCCAATCCAATCCAAATCACGTGCAATCCGATTACATTTTGTTCTAAGAGCGAACTGCCAAGATAATGAATCAATCGGGTGCCGACTTTAGGAATAAATTGGATTGCTGAAATATCAATCGTGGCACTCAAAAGTTAAAAATTTGATATCTTCAATAATGACACCTCTATTTCTAACAAACACCTTCATTCAATCTCTTATGACCACTATATTAAATATGGAGTATAAGACTAGTTTTAATTATTGCATTAGACAATAGTTGGTTGAGTCGGAGTAGTTTCTAGCTTTCTTGATATAAATAAATAAATAAATAAAATCTGATGTTTGATTCAATCTTAATTTGGACCTTTTAACCATTTCAAAAAATTGCCTTTGCTTGGCACAGGCCAGTTTTGTCCGGTTCACCAAATTGCAGCTAGTTTTGAAAACATCAATGGAAGGACATTAATTATTTTCAATATTTTTCTATGTCTCATAGTATAATCTTTACATCTAGTTTTGATTGAGTGAGAAAAAAAAGACTAATAAGTGCTATTTTTCTTTTTTTCTTTTGGTTATTAGTTTTCCAAATGACCATCAAAATTTTAGATGCAATTCTAACCAATTCGATGCAATCTAGACCATCAAAATTGTAAGCAATACAATATTTAACATGGTTCAACAAGTATTTTATTCTCTCTCCATTGAAATCTTCCTCTTTTTTCCATCTCATGTTGCTTATGTCACTTGCCTCCACTCTAAACCCTTTTCATTCTACTTTACCTAATTAAAACCTTTAAAATCTCAAAAGCACAAGCACTCTCAACATGTAATAGCGTCACATGGATCAAAATCACTCCAACGTAGAATATGTTATTCAATTTTGTGAATTAATTTGGAATATTTAAAACCTAAATCTGATCCTCAGTTTTTCCCAAAAATATTGAAAAGACACCTAAAACCAAAATTACACTTTTCCCCCTATATAATCCTGTCTCATCGGTTTTGGTTTGAAGTATCTTCAGTTTGAACAATTAATCACTTTAAACTCTCGTCTCCCAGGGGAAAAAAGGTGCCTTGTATTGAAATTCTTAAGAAAAATGTCACAAATCGTGATAGAAATCATGATTCGATTGAAGTATTGCAAAGCGAAAGCACCTTACATCAAGACCCAATCATAAATATTGAACAGTCAAATAAGAATCCGATACTTAATATAGTTTGATAAACCTGCTTACATCCATATTTTTAAAGGAATTACAAATGATAAAAATGCATAAAATCCACAACTGAAAGTAATACCTGAAAAACTAGAATATGATGTTCATTCTTGAGACAGTTCAGATTCTTCAGAACCTACATATGATCCCAGGTAAGTGTTTTGCCCTCGTATCCTTTTTCAGTTAGAAAATAAACTCAGATTAGGTTATACTTCTCTTTCACCTCAGACACAGAGGCAGTTATGTTGCCAGACAACACACCAGTGTTAGGAACTTAGGTGCTTATGGCCACAGTTAAATATCTAAAAATAATAATAACAATAATTCCAAACTGAGTTATGCATTTCAGCACACACAGACATCAAAACAAATGTTGTCATTTTAATACAGAAGCCCCTAATAATAATTAACACCCTTCTTTCAGCTGAACTACAACACTAGAAAATTATTTATTCTAATTACCAGCTAAGTATTCTTCTAAGTTGGTGAAATCAAGTATTTTGAAATAATCTAAAAGTTGCAGATCGCAATCCTAATTATAAGGTGTCTTTGTGCCGAGAGTATCTTCAATTTGATCTCGAACTAAAATGAACTGCAAATCTTAATGTTCTCATTCTTTCTATCAACAAATCCTGGGGATGATTCATAATAGCAACTCAAACATTACATCTAGAAGTCATTTGGCAAACAAACTGGCTGTCCTTTTCTTTCGATGGCAATTTTTATTTCCATCATATAAAATCATGCCCCTTCAAAAAGGATAAAGAAAGAATAAAGCAAGTCATCAAACAAGTTAAAAATCAGCCATGAATAAACCAAATCTGTGAAGTATACTCAGTATCATTCGATAAATGCATTTTCGCTTTAAACAAGAGGTATATTGACGCAATGCCCGAATCAGCATTCATGGAAAGGTAAAATCTGAACACATTTGCAATATACAGGAACTAAAGAAAGAAATACTGAAACTATTCCATGAAGAAAAAAGAAAGAAAAAAAAATGGGGCAATTATAAGTGGGATCATTTGTCGTGGTTTCCTACTTCGCACTCCTTTGCCATTTTCTTGGTTCGTCCAACTCCAAGCTTTTCCTTGATTAAAATTATAAGCTGTTTATTGAGTAACGGCTGCACTCAAAGACTAGGCTTGCCCCCTCAAGACTTAATTCACTTCCTAAAGTAAGACTATTCACTTCCTAAAGTAAGACTAAGCTCTCCATGTAAGTAACAACATATAACGATTTCAGATCATCACGAGATAATCGTATTCCAAGATCCTTAACTTGTTGAGACTCTAGGTTAATTGAAAGCCTGTGATAATTTCTTTTAAAGAAGAGAGATCACCATTCCTCCTGAAACCAAGTGTGCGCCTAAAACCTCAATCCACATCAAAAGCGAATAGTTTGGTCCAAGATTCTACAACACCACATTCTTTCATCATCCATATTGAAACTTTGGTAAGCATGAAATCATAAAGGCACAAAGTGACTCCCTAAACACTGAATGTAAATATTACCATAGTTAAATATTTAAAAAAACAAAAAAACCAATAATTCCAAATGTTATAGAATAACTGGGTTATGCATTTCAATACACACACACACACACACATCAAAATAAATGTTGGCATTCTAATACAGAAGCCCTAAATAATAATTAATAACTTTTCCAGGATTAAAGCTTTCGGCTGAAATGCAGCATTAGAACATTACTTATTCTAATTACCAGCTAAGTATTCATCTAATTTGGTGAAATCAAATTAACTATTTTGAAATAATCTAAAAGTTGCAAATTGAAATCCTAATTATGATGAGTATCTTCAATTTGATCTTGAACAAAAATGAACTGCAAATCTTAAAGTTCTCATTGTTTCTACCAACAAATACTGGGGATGATTAATAATAGCAACTCATACACTACATCTAGAAGTCACGTGACAAACAAACTGGCTATCCTTGTCTTTCAATGGCAATTTTTACTTCCATCATATAAAATCATGTCCCTTTGAAAAAAATAAAGCAAGTCATCAAACAACTTAAACATCAGCCATGAATAAACCAAACCATGAAATATTATCAGTATCATTTGATAAATGCATCATCAATTTAAATAAGAGGTATATTGATGCAATGCTAGAATCAGCATTCGTGGAAAGGTAAAATCTGAACACATTTGCAATATACAGTAACTAAAGACAGAAATACTGAAACTATTCTATGAAGAAAAAAGAAGAAGAAAAAAATGGGGCAAGGAAAAGTGAGAACCTTTATCGTGGTTTCCTTCTTCGAACTCTCCTTTGCAAATTTCTTGGTTCGTCACTTCGTCCAACTCCAAGCTTTTCTTTAATTAAAATTGTAAGCTCTTTCTTGAGTAACTGCTGCACTCAAAGACTAGGCTTGCCACCTTAAGACTTGATTAACTTCCTAAAGACTAAGCTCTCAGTGTAAGTAACAATGTACAATGATTTCAGATATTATTCATGTATCCGAGGAGTATGGACATGTATCCATACTTTTAATATTATGGATACGTTTAATATAGTCAAAATCATCCAAGTAGATGAATCATTACTTTAAAATAAGAGGTACAGCATTCATGAAAAGCTAAAATCTGAACAAATTTGCTATATACGGGAACTAAAGGCAGAAATACTGATACTATGCTACGAAAAAAAAAAAAAAGAAAAAAAGAAAAAAAAAAAAAAGGGCAAGGATAAATGAGAATGTTTATCGTGGTTTCATTCTTCCTACTCTATCTTGCAATTTTCTTGATTCCTCCAACTCCAAGCTTTCCTTTAAGAAAATTATAAGGTCTTTCTGGAGTAACTGCTGCACTGGAAGACTAGGCTTCTTAAGACTTGATTCACTCCCTAAAGTAAGACTAAGCTCTCCACGTAAGGTACAACATAAAATGATTCCAGATCACCAGATAACCGTATTCCAAGATCCTTAGCTTGTTGAGACTCTACGTTAATTGAAAACATGCAATCATTTCTTTTAAAGAAAAGAAGATCACCATTTCTCCTGAAATCAAGTCTTAGCACGAAAGCTTCATCCACATCAAAAGCGAAAAGTTTGGTCCAAGATTCTACAACACCATATACTTTCATCACCCATATTGAAAATTTGGTAAGCATCAAATCATAATGGCACAGACAAATTGACTCCCTAAGCACTGAAACAGCCAAATATGTTACCACCCAGCCGCGTCATGGAGCTGCTGGTGCCTTCATCCTACAGAATACCTCACTGCTCATATCAAATAGCAGGATTGAAAATATCAAAAGCAGCATTCTTATCGAATCCAACCCAATGGACAATCCCATTGACAAATACTGAGATGGAAGTGGAGCAAAACTGAAACAATGATGGGGACCAACAACATAAATTCTTGTCCAGCATCCTTTGTTAATCGAGTAAATCCCAACCTCAGGATCTGGAGAATTGAAATCATAAAAAAAAAGTGTCGTTAATTTCTTCTTGTTCGTTCCATGTTCGAAGTACAAAATAAGAATCCCCTTTGTTACATGATTTCTTCTTCATATAGATGGATATAAATTGGCTATCATTTTCTTTCCATGGTAAATTTTACTTCCATTATATAAAATCATGTCCCAAGGCAAAGAATAAAGAAAGAACAAGGCAAGTCATCAAACATGAAACAATAGCCATGAATAAAACAAATCCATTAAATATAATCAATATCATTCAAGTAAATGAATCATTACTTTAAAATACAAGGTACAACATTCATGAAAAGCTAAAATCTGAACAAAGTTGCAATATACTGGAACTAAAGACAGAAATACTGATACTATGCTACGAAGAACAAGAAAAAAAGGGCAAGGACATATGAGAATATTTATCATGGTTTTTCTCTCTTGCAATTTTCTTGATTCCACCAACTACAAGCTTTCCTTTAAGAAAATTATAAGGTCTTTCTAGAGTAACTGCTGCACTGGAAGATTAGGCTTCTTAAGACTTGATTCACTTCCTAAAGTAATACTAAGTTCTCCGCCACATGGGGAACAGCGTAAAATGATTGCGGATCACCAGATAACCATATTCCAAGATACTTAGTTTGTTGAGACTCTAGGTTGATTGAAAACATGTAATCATTTCTTTTAAAGAAAAGAAGATCACCATTCCTCCTGAAACCAAGTAATTGCCCGTAAGCTTCATTCACATCAAAGACGAATAGTTTGGACCAAGATTGTACAACACCATATTCTTTCATCACCCATATTGAAACTTTGCTAACCAAGGAATCAAAATGACCAAGACAAAGTGACTCCCTATGCACCGAAACAGCCAAACGTGTTACCAACCAGCCATGTGGTGGTGCTGCTGGTGGCTTCATCTTGCAGAATACCTCACTGCTCATATCAAAAGTCAGGATTGAAATATCAGAATCAGCATCCAAATCGCCTCCAACCCAATGGACAATCCCATTGACAAAAGCCTGAGATGGAAGTGGAGCAAAAGTGAAACGATGATGGGGACCAACAACACAAATTCTTCTCCAACATCCTGTATTAAGGGAGTAAAGCTCAACCTCAGCATCTGGAAAACCATAGATGTAAGCAATTCTAACCACCTTATAATCATTAGTTTTGGAATCGAAGCCGTACCCATCAACAACCCTACTCAGGCCACGTGAATCAATGCCAATGCTGGACATTGGAAGACTCATATATTTTCTAATACTTGATTCCACAAAATTATATTATTCACCTTGTTAAAGACACAATCAAAGATGTTATCACTGAGACATACCACACCATTACAAGAACCAAATATGTGTAAATTAGATTCACAGTACGGGATTGGGTTTTCAAGTTCCATAAAACAACTACCGTCGTAGAGAATTAATGAAAAACGACCTTCTCCTTCAGATTCTTCTTCGTAGTCATTAATGTAACGCCCAATGATATGTGTATCAGTATTGTTGATTTTGTTCAAATGGACTGTTTGTTTGAGCTTTGAAGTGATGAATTTAGGGCTACTAATTAGAGAACGCCATGATTTACAAACGCACCTGAACTTTAGAAGGGCTTTCACCGGTAGTCTTGTGAGGATTTCAGCTATCAATTCTTTGGGCAAACGGTCCGCCATTGTTGAGATTCGTAGGTGAGTGAGTGAGAGTGAGAGAGCTTTATCTTTAGGGGTTTCGAAAACCCTAGGAATGTTGAGACATCAACGATATATGAGAGTGCAAGAAGTTCGAAAACCCCCACCCTATTCTTTTAGGCTATGTTTGGTAGGGTGGGTTTGAAAGGGGAGGATAATATTAGTTACGACGAAAAGGGAAGGGACGGAAAGAGAAGGAAATGATAAGTTTAATCCTCAATCGTGTTTGGTTGATTAATGAAAGAAAAAAAAGAGAAGAATAACAATCATGTTTGGGAAAAGAAAAGAAAGGGAAGGATAATAATAAATTTACTATTATGCCCTTTTATATTTTAAAAGATGAATTTTGAGATTTAAATATGCAACAACATTTTTGTTCCAAGAGGAGCCGGCTCAAGTAAAAGTGGAGGAGGCTTTACTTTAAGTAGAGGAGGCTCCAATATGAGTAGAGCAGGCTCCCAAAAATGGGAGGCGGCTCTTTTCAAGAAAAATTGTTCTGGGAACCAATTTTAGCTACTAGAATGAAGATCAAGTGTGTGTTTTTTTTTCCTTTTGGTTTTCATCGCTGTTCCAGTTCGGGTTCGCCGTCGCCATCCGCCTCAAAAAATCAAAATCCACATCTTTTAGTTTCCATCGCTATTCCAGTTCGGGTTTGCCGTCTACCTCAAAAATCAAAACCCACATCTTTCAGTTTCCATCGCTGTTCTAGTTCGGGTTCGCCGTCCGCCTCAAAAAATCAAAACCCACATCTTTCAGTTTCCATCGCTGTTCCAGTTCGAGTTCGCCGTCCGCTGTTCGCAAGCTTTCCGCGCTAAATACATGTTCAATATCAAGTGCAATTTTGAGGGTAAAAGTGGCATGACAAATATTATATGAGCCATTGCCTTCCCTTTCCTTCCTTATCCTCCCATTTTTGGAAGGTTAAAGAAATTACTGTACATTGTTATGAAGAACCCATCCAAACCCTTCCCTCTCCTTCCCTTTCCCTCCACTCACCTTACCCAAACACAATTTTTTTATAACCCTCTATCACCTTCCCTTCCCTTTCCCTTCAAACCCACTCTACCAAACTGAGCCTTAGGGTCAGTTTGGTATAGTAGAAATGGGAGGAAAGGGAAGGGAAGGTGATGGAGGGGGATTAAAAATGTGTGTTTGGCAAAAATTGTTGGAAGGAAAGGGAAGGGTTTGGAAGGTTAACTTGTGTCTTCAACAGTAGATTTCTTAACTTCTCAACAATGGAAGGAAATGAAGGGAAAGGGAAAGAGAGGCTTGGTGGGTGATTTCAAATGCCAATTTTACCCTCAAGATTGCAGAGAGAGAGACCGCCAGTGATTGAAGCTTGGAACGGCGAACCCGAACTGGAACAGCGGCCATGGAAACTGAAAGACATGGGTTTTGGATTTTCTGAACAATCTGAAATGATACACCGATACGGGTTTGAACTTTTGATTCTTGCAAACAGATAGATAAACTGGAAATATATGGGTTTTGAATTTCTGATTCTTGCAGAGAGAGAGAGAGAGAGAGAGAGAAAGGCCAAGCTCAGTGTTGAGAAGGAGTTGCAGAGATGGGGCGAGATTGGGGAGGCTAAATTGATTTGCCCTATTTTTTTATTTTTCTTTTCTTATGGCCTCAAGTTAAAGACTTTATATATATATATATATATATATATATATATATATATAATAGAGATGGAGGATTGGGAGGCTGAAATGATTTGCCCTAATTTTTATTTTTATTTATTTAATTATTTTGTTTTTTGGCAAGTACATGAAACTATATATATATATATATATATATATATTAAAATATAAAAGGTATAATAGTCAATATGTTAAAATAATTTCTTTTCTTTTCCCAAACATAATTATTATCCTTCCTTTTCTTTTTTTTCATTAATCAACCAAATACGACGGAGGTTTAAAATTATCTTTCCCTTCCCTTCCCTTTCCTTTCTCTCGTAACTAATGTTATTCTTCCCTTCCAAACCCACCGTACCAAACAAAGCCTTACCCTTTTCCGTTAAATGGAGTATTGGTAGTATATGAAATAACTAAAAATTCATATCATATGATTTGGAAATTAAACCAAAAATAAAAACAAATAATATAAAGATTTTTATTTTTATTTTTCCTTTGTTACTCACACATTAAATTGTTTCCACCCAAAATAGTCAAAACCTTAGACCTCGTTTAATGGATCCCAAAGCCATACCAAATTCTTACGAACGTCAACTATTAGAGGGAAATTACAATCTAGATTCAAAACCTCGCCTTGACAATTACTTTAGTGAAATTGGCATTTCACTCACCTTGGCAAATAGTTTTGTGAAATTGGCATTATATTTTAAGAGTGTATAAAAACTGGTTAAACGATAAACAAAACTGATATGTTTTGGTCGATTTTTTTACAGTTAGTTTTAGTTACGGTTCTAAAATATAAAATCATTTATAAACAGTTTGGTTATGATTTGAGGTTTTACAAGATCAGACCGAACAGAAACCGTTTAATAAATTGTATATATATTTATATATTTTATATTATATAAATAATCAACCAACTAGTGTTTAGGAACTAATGAGTGGAATTAGTTTCTTGCTTTCTTGAAAGAAAAAAAAAAATAATAATAATAATAATAATAATCTTATGTTTGATTCGGATGAAACTTAATGTGGACCTTTTTACCATTTCAAAAAATTGCCTTTACTAGGCGCAGGCCAATTTTGTCTGGTTCACCGAATTGCACTTAGTTTTGAAAACATTAATAGAAGATATTAAGGATCCGTTTAGTTTGTAACTCTGAAAACAGTTTTCTATTTCAAAAAATTGAAAACAGAAAATTGTGCAAAAAATTCTGCTTAATTCAATTTTATAAAACTGTTTTATGAAAACTCAATTATAAAAAGGTCTATTTTTAGATAAATGTCTTTTATTGTTCTGTAAAAATTGTTTTTTGTTAAGTGAATTCTTAAGATTTTCAGAATTACAAAACAAACATGCTCTAATTATTTTCAATATTTTTCTGTCTCACAGTAGAATCTTTACATCAAGTCTTGATTGAGGGACTGAAAAAGTAATGACGTGATATATTCATTTTTATTACGTAGTATTATTATATTAATTTTTCTTTTTTCTTTTTTTGCTATTAGTTTTCCAAATGACCATGAATTTTTTAATGCAATTCTAACCATACCTCAGGAGTATGGATATGAACCATCAAAACTGTAAACATCAAAAAAGAATACAATATTTAACATGATTCAGCAAATTTTGGACGACATAAATAATTTATTTCATTCCATAAATTAATTACAAAGAACCAAAAAAAAATCCAAATCATGTGTAATACTGGTGTCCATTGCTAGTGTCCAATGCCTTCGAAGCATCTCTTATTTTCCTACTCACCAGTGTTCTTTCTTTTAAGTACACTGAAATTTTAAAAAAAAAACATCATATACAGCTGAAATCAAAAATAGAAATACTGAAACAACAAGTGAGAGAACTTACAAATGCTTTAGCTCTTTCCTCTATTTTCTATTGCACATTTCTTGATTCCTCCAACGTCATGATCTTCAATAAGAAAGAATAAATCAAAGGCTAACAGTCTGGTCCAACACCAACACCAGTCATAGCATCACCATGTGCCACAGAAACTGACTCCCCAAGCACTGCAAAGACAATTTTGGCACCTTCACACATTCTACACTCCCCTCCAGCTTCACTTCACCATGCAGAAAAATTCGCTGCTCATATCGGATGACAAGATCGCGATGAAAAACAAACAGTGGCTCGAACCCACTGGAAAACACCATTCACAAAATCCTGAGCTGAATATATATATATATATATATATGTATGTATGTATGTATGTATGTATATTACGACACAAGTTCGCGATGAAAAACCAACGGTGGCTTCTCCAGACAATAGTCTTAAAAACCCTAAATTCGTCTTCCCTTTCCCTAAAACAGTCTGCGATTGATTACTTTATTTTTCTTTCACCTTCTCTTTTCAAAGATTTTATTCTATGTCCATTGAAGTCTTCCTCCTCTCTTTTCTGTTTATGTCACTTGCCTACGTCCATGCCTTGCCTCCACTCTAAACCCTTTTCATTAAAACAAAACCTTTGAATCCTCAAAAGCACAAGCTCTGTCAATATGAAATAGCTTTAATTTTCGAAAAAAAAAATATGAAATAGCTTCACATGGATCAAATTCACTGAAATGCGAGAATATGTGATTCAATTTTTTTTTATTTAATTTGGAATATTTGAAAGCTATACCTCATCTTCAGTTTTTTCCACAAATATTGAAAAGACACCTAAAACCAAAATTACAAATTTTTTTCTTCCTATTATCCTGTCTCGTCGGTTTTGGTTTGAAGTATCTTCAGTTTGAATTAATCACTTTAAACTCTTAGTTTGGCCAAAAAATGGATACCTTATCTCCAGGAGAAAAAAAAAAACATACCTCACATTGAAATGCTTAAGAAAAATGTCACATACGATGGTAGCAATCATGATTTGATTGAAGTATTGCAAAGTGCGGTGCAAGCGAAGATAAATAGGAAGTAATCAAATAAGAATACAATACTTGACGTGGTTCGATAAACCTGGCCACATCCATATTTTAAAAGGAATTACGTAGGATAAAAATGAATAAAATTCAGCAACCGAAAGTTTTACCTGAAAAACTGGAATATGTAGTTCATTCTTGAGACAGATAGATTCTTCAAAACCTACGTATGATCCCTAGATGGTGTTTTTCCCTAGTATCCTTTTTCAGATATTGAATATGTTTGGCCTATAAAAGTGGTCGGTTCCGATGGAACCGGATGAGCGTGCCAAGAACTGCAGTAGTTCTGAAGAGAGATCCAAACAATATTCCAGATGAAAGATTGCGAAACCAGGCAATTTTGATGAGGTCTGGAATGAACACCTCATGATTCTTTTTGCCTTTGAAAAAGGACTTCGGGATAGTTAATTGGCTGGGAAGGAAAGAACTACTTGAGAAAGTAATTGAATTGACTGTAAAATTATTTACTGAAAAGTAAAGTACAGGACTAAGACTAATCATATTAAAAGTGCATTGCAATGAAAAGTAAGATTGTATTGAAATGTGTGTTTGGTTTGGTGTTGAACAGGTCTTCTAAGTTACAATATCATGTCCTATTTATACAATTTAGTAATGGTAACTTGCATATAACTGCTTGTTTCCTATACTGCCATATGTCCCATGACTTTGTATATAACCGCTTACTTCCTTGACTGCCATGTGTCCCAAAACTTTCCACTGGAACGTCATAATACTTTTCCATTGGAATCAACTCGCTTCCTAGGCTGCCATGTGTCCCATGACTTTGCATGTAACCGCTCGCTTCCTAAGTTGCCATCTGTCCCATGACTTTGCATGTGACCGCTTGTAACCGCTCACTTCCTTAATTGCCAAGTGTCCCAAAATTTTCCACTGGAACGTCGTAGTACCTCTCCATCGGAATCGACCAACTTCCTAGGCTACCACATGTCCCATGAATTTGCATATAACCGCTTGTAACCACTTGCTTCCTTGGCTGCCATGTGTCCCAAGACTTTCTACTGGAATATCGTAGTATCTTTCCATTGGAATTGACCAGAGCAATCTTCCACTGGAAAGTGGAAAACTAGGGTGTAAACATTGCCTCCCAAATTTGATGTGCCTGGTATTCTTTGAAGAATTGTAAGGCATATCAAATTTTAGATGTGAGTGAGAATTTGCCATGTGATATTCCTATTGTTAAAGAATTGAACAACTAAAACTTTTCAGTCGGAATTTACCACTGGGGGAAAACTTTAAACAGCTTATTTAACTAAGACAAAGATTTGAAGCCTCACGTCCAATTTCGTTGCCCCCCGAAGTATGGAGGTTTACGAGGAGGAAGAATTTGTACATCTTCTGGCCAAATAAATAATTGATTGGCCAAGTTTTGCCCCCCAAAAATCACAATATATGAATTTGGGACAAATAAAGTACTAGTATTTTTTTACAAGATTGGAAGAAAAATACTATGACCTTTATATTCTTTATGTGGATGAATATACAACGATTCAGAAACTTGTGCTGTTTTTGAAGGAAATTTTGACTGTGGAAAATCTTCTTCCAATGGAAGAAGTGATAACGGCTTCCTATGGAAAGGTTTGTCGACCTTCCTCATGGAATAAACTACTTATGACTGAAGATTCAACACTGAAGATTCTACCTGAAATGGAACCTGAACTGTTGGTGGTGAAATCAACTTCACTGCTGCTGGAATCGACTTCACTATTACTGAAGCACCTTAAGTAGAACCTGCATCTGCGATGGAAGTGGTGGTGGAATTGACTTCACTACTGGCGGAATCGACTTCACTACTGGTGGAATCGACACCATATGTTAGGTAATGAGTTCGTATTTTTTGGCCAACCTTTGGGTAAGTTGGCCATTGGATGCCCCCCAAACACCACTCAAATTGGGTTTGGGTCTGCCAAAGGAATACTACTCTGGCGGATTGGATTTACTCCTTGATCAGGAGATTTTTTTTTTGGAAGAAGTTATCCCTCGCTTGCCATAAGAAAAACCTAAGGCGGCCTTTGAGGAATGGCAATAGGTGGCTGCACATTCTGTTGAGTAATATTAGGTGGAAAGTACAGTTGACTTCTTGATTGACGCTGCAGTACCCTGATAAGACCCAAACTGATGCACATTATTAGTAAAAACATCATGGCAAACCTATTGGGGTATAACCACCGAGGCTGGATTCTGCACATGCTGTGTCATTGGAATGGGCATTGATTGTGCAGGTGGCATCTGCACTATCTGCACCTGTGGTTTGGGATACACATATTGATGGAAATGACTACCCTCAACAAACGCTCTTGGCTTGTTCACCGAAACGGCTGATTGTTGAGTAGTATTAGGTGAAAAGTACGGCTAACTTCCTGATTGACTAGCTTGAGCTGTACCCTGACAAGACCCAAATTAATGCAAATTGTTAGTAAAAACATCATGACAAACCTGTTGGGGAATTACCACAGGATTCTGCACATGCTATTCCACTGGAATAAACATCGATTGTGCATATAGCATCTGCGTCTGTGGCATGGAATGCACAGGCTGATGAGAAGGACTCCCCTCAACAAACGTACTTGGCCTGTTCATCGAAACGGCTGATTGTTGAGTAGTATTGGGTGGAAAGTACGGCTGATTACCTGATTGACCAGCCTGAGCCGTACCCTGACAAAACCCAAAATGATGCCAATTGTTAGTAAAAACATCATGACAAACCTGTTGAGGAATTGCCACAAGATTCTGCACATGCTATTCCACTGGAATAGACATCAATTGTGCATATGGCATCTGCACTATCTATGCCTGTGGTATAGTACTCACAGGTTGATGAGAAGGACTCCCTTCAATAAACGTACTTGGCCTGTTCACTAAAACGACCGATTGCTGAGAACCTTCTGAATTGTTTGGCCTATTGACCGAGCTTTGAGAAATGTTGGCCAAGCTTTAGGAAAGATTGGCCAAGCTTTGGGAAAGTCTGGCCAAGCTTTGAGGAATGTTGGCCATGCTTTGGGAAAGACTTGCAGAAGACCGGTTAAACAAAGTTAACTGGTTCAACATGAGATCCGTCTTTACATTTTGTGCAAAGACGGTTTTTTCATGACTACGAGCACTCTTCTCTATAACAACCATGATAGGTCTGTTCGTCATTGCTTCAACGAACTTTGTAACCATATTTTCTCCTTCTTCATGAACAGCACGTGAAATTTCTTCAGGAAGTTCAATAGTCTGTTCCCCTTCAATTTCAGTAGGATCTTGAACAGATTTGCCGTGTCTTTTTCCTCCCGCCATGAAAACACTCCGTTCAGAATGTCCTGCCGGGCGTGCCACTATGTTTGGCCTGTAAAAGTGGTCGGTTCAGATGGAACCGGATGGGCATGCCAGGAACTGCAGTAATTCCGAAGAGAGATCCAAACAATATTCCAGATGGAAGATTACGAGACCAAACAATTGTGATGAGGTCTAGAATGAACACCTCAGGATTCTTTTGGTCTTTGAGAAAGGACTTCGGGATAGTTGACTGGTTAGGAAGGAAAGAACTACTTGAGAAAGTAATTGAATTGACTGTAAAACTATCTACTGAAAAGTAAAGTGCAGGACTAAGACTAATCATATTGAAAGTGCATTGCAATGAAAAGTAAATGCGTGTTTGGTTTGACGTTGAGCAGGCCTTCTAAGTTACAATATCATGCCCTATTTATATTTAGTAATGGTAGCTTGCATGTAACCGCTTACTTCCTAAGCTGCCATATGTCACATGACTTTGCATGTAACCGCTTGTAACCGCTTACTTCTTTAGCTGTCATGTGTCCCAAGACTTTCCAGGAATGTCGTAGTACATTTCCATTGGAATTGACTCCCTTCCTAGGCTGCCATGTGTCCCATGACTTTGCATGTAACCGCTCGTTTCCTAGGTTGCCATGTGTCCCATGACTTTGCATATAACCGCTCACTTCCTTGGCTGTCAAGTGTCCCAAGACTTTCTATTGGAACGTCGTAGTACCTTTTTATTGGAATCGACCAGCTTCCTAGACTGTCATGTGTCCTATGAATTTACATATAACCGCTTGTAATTGCTTACTTTCTTAGCTGCCATGTGTCCCAAGACTTTCCACTGGAACATTGTAGTACCTTTCCATTGGAATTGACCAGAGCAATCTTCCACTGGAAAGTGAAAAAATAGGGTGTAAACAGAAAATACCCTAAAACAGAAACTACATTCAGATTAGGTTATAGTTCTTTTTCGCCTTAGAGGCATTTATGTTGTCGGACAATGTTCTGGCGTTAGATGTTTATGGCCGTATTTTTGTGGGGTAGTTAGAAAATTACACATGAAAAGCAAAATACCAGAAGACCTGTAATATCAGTTTGGTATATCACATATCTTCCATATGCCTAGTTTTAAGGTGTCCAATGGATTAATCTCTACAGATTGTGTAGGAGCATTACCATAGTTAAATATTAGAACAAAAAATTTCCAAATGTTATAGAATAACTGAGTCATGCATTTCAATACGCACAAACACACACACACATCAAAATAAATGTTGGCATTTAAATACAAAAGCCCTTAATAATAATTAACACTTTTTCCAGGATTGAAGCTTTCAGCTGAAATGCAACATTAGAACATTATTTATTCTAATTAACAGCTATGTATTCATCTAATTTGTGAAATTGAAATTAGTATATTGAAATATTCTAAAAGTTGCATATTGCAATCCTAATTATGAAGTTTCTTTGTGCCAGAGAGAATCTTCAATTTGATGTTCAACCAAAATGAACTGCAAATCTTAACGTTCTCATTGTTTCTACCAACAATCTTACAGGTCACAAGAAGCGGTATCGGGGGCTTCGAGGACAAGTTATACAGTCCTAAGCAAGTCAAAAGCAAGGGATCCCGGGGTCAAATAGGTACTGGGATGATTCATAAATAGCAACTTAAACATTACATCTAGAAGTCATTTGGCAAACAAACCGGCTATCCTTTTCTTTCTATGGCAATTTTTACTTCTATCATATAAAATCATGTCCCTTCGAAAAGAATAAAGAATGAATAAAGCAAGTCATCAAACAAGTTAAACATCAACCATTGAATAAACCAAATCCGTGAGATGTACCAAGTATCCTTTCATAAATACATCATCACTTTAAAATAAAAGGTATATTGATGCAATGCTAGAATCAGCATTCATGGAAAGTTAAAATTTGAACACATTTGCAATATACAGGAACTATAGACATAAATACTGAAACTATTCTATGAAGAAAAAACAAAAACGAAAAAAAATGGGGCAAGGATAAGAGAGAACGTTTATCGTGGTTTCCTTCTTTGCACTCTCTTGCAATTATCTTTGTTCGTCCGGCTCCGTGCTTTCTTGAGTAACTGCTGCACTCAAAGACTAGGCTTGCCCCTTTTTTTTATTAGTAAAGACTATGCTTGCCCCCTTAACGTCTTGCTTCACTTCCTAAAGTAAGACTAAGCTCTCCATATAAGTAACAACGTACAATGATTTCAGATCATCACGAGATAACCGTATTCTAAGATCCTTAACTTGTTGAGATTCTAGGTCCATTGAAAACAGGTGATCATATCTTTTAAAGAAAAGAAGGTCACCATTCCTCCTGAAACCAAGTATTCCCCCAAAATCCCTACCCAAATCAAAAGTGAATAGTTTGGTCCAAGATTCTACAACACCATATTCTTTCATCACCCATATTGAAACTTTGCGAACCAAGGAATCAAAATGTCCCACACAAAGTGACTCCCTAAGCACTGAAACAGCCAAATGAGACACCACCCATCCATTTTCAGGGCTTGTTGGGAGCTTCATCTGAGAGAATACCTCACTGCTCATATCAAATGTCAAGATTGAAATATCAGAAGCAGCAACCATATTGCATCCAACCCAATGCACAATCCCATTTACAAAAGCCTGAGAAGGTCGCGGAGCAAAACAGAAATGATGAATGGGACCAGCAACACAAATTCTTCTCCAATGTCCTCTATTAAGAGAGTAAAGCTCAACCTCAGGAAATGGAAAATTGTTGATGCAAGTAATTCTAACCACCTTATAATCGTTAGTTTTGAAATCGAAGCCGTATCCAATAACAACCCCATATGGGCCATCTGAACCAGCAGCTCTAACCACAGTATTAGTGTGTGAATCAATGCCAATGCTGGGAATCGGAAGCCTCACAGATTTTCTAATACTCGGATTCCACAGAATTAGATTATTGGCTTTATCAAAGGCATTATCAGTGAGACATACCAAACCATTACAAGAATCAAATATGTGGAAATGAGAAGCAGAGTTTGGGATTGGGCTTTCAAGTTGTATAAGACGTCCGCCAAGTCTTTCATCATAGAAATTAGCCGAAAAACGACCTCCCCCTTTTCTTCTCTTATTAATGTAATGCGAGATGAGAAGTGTATCACTGTTGTTGATTTTGTTGAAATGAATTGTTTGATTGACTTTTGAACTGATGAAATTAGGGCTACTGATTAGAGAACACCATGCCTTACAAACGCACCTGATCTGTACAAGGGTTTTTACCGGTAGTCTTGTCAGGATTTCAGTCATCAATTCGCTGGGTAAACGGTCCGCCATTGTGAGAGGCAGAGGAGGAGCTTTTCTTTTAGGGCTTTTGAAAACCCCTATAATCCTTGCATGTCAACGAAACGTTTTAGCATTTTATATATATATATATATATAAAGAATTGCAGTATAAAGAGATGAAATCAAATTGAAATTCGAAAATCTACTTACCAGCAGAGTAGAGAGGGAATACAGAAAACGATTCAAACACACATGAGTTTTTAGAGAATATAAATTTATAGACAAAACATAGTACCGGATTTCAAAGATGACTAAATCAAATTGAAATTGCAATTATTGTTGTTGACAAATGTGGTTACTTTTTGTCTGTATGCTTTTGGGTGGTAAATGCTTTGGGCCGTGGGTGTTGGGTACATTAACTGATAATCAAATTTATAACAAAATTGTCACAACCGAGTCGATTCTGTCATATTATAACAAGTAAGTTTGTTTGTTTGTTTTTTGTTTTTTTTTTTTTTTCCCCACATCTCCAAAGCAAAGTGTAATAGAAATTATAAAACACACAAAGAAAATGAAAAAAAAATCAAGATAAGGGATACAATTTATGAAACTTTTTATGAAGCATAGTGAATTCAATTACCTATAAGGATCAATAAAAATCAGGAGAAGAGTCAAGGAAATTATAAGGGTTTTGATTTATCATTCGAATCAAACCATGAATAGTTATTTTTCCGTGGCCATTAAAAAATTGGTACATTTTTTGAGTGCCCATTCATCATCTCTCTCATAAAATTAATTTTTTAAGAACATTTCACACTTGACATCACTACCCAATTCAGAAAAATTAATGTTGATCCTGCTTTTGTTTGTTTTGAGGTATCATCAGATTCATTGAGGGCTTGAATCTGCAAGTTTTTTTTTTTTTTTTCTTTTTCCTAATTGAGTCTGCAAGATTAAGAACCCATTTTGTAAACATAGTTGAAATGGAAGAAAACTGAGTATCAAACGGCCCAATTGGTTATTTACTCATTGGTCCTAGTTTGGGTTTCGAGGATTGGTCTTGTGGTATGATCCATTGAATTTTAAAAAGTGAATTGGGAAAAGGCCAACCAGTGGAAGAGGCCCAGAGTTCAATACCACCCCCCACCCCCCCTTCTTTTTCCAAACCAAAATCCTCATCACCAACTAACGCCCTATTTGCTAACTTGTTGAGTTTTGATTTGCTGTTGTGCTTTTTATTTTTATTTTTATTTTTAAAATTGCAGCAAAATCTTTTTCATAATTCTATTTTTCACTTTTCACTTTTCACTTTTCAAAAGTTTTGAAAACTAATTGTCATTTCCTTCACAATTTCTACTACTTCAAAATGAAGTTTTGATTTTTTCTTTTGGTTTACAAATTCTGTTATTTTATTATTTTTTAAACTAAGAATTAGAGGGATGTTATTTAATATTTTTATACTTAGAGAAATATTTTTTAATTATACTCGGATAGTATATAAAATTAAAAAATTATTTTATTATACTAGAATAGTAAAATTTAAAATATTATTTTATTGTTTTCCAATTATACTCAAATAGTAAATAAAATATTATTTTATTAATTTTCAATTATACTAATAGTAAATGAAAGAGTCCATTTTTTAATTAAAAAAAAAAAAATACCAAACATATTTTCTCTTCCCCCCTTTTTAAAACTTCAATAATATATATGTTACCAAACATATTTTGGTTTGACAGAAATAACCGCACAACTTTACAAAACTAGCCATTTTCAAATGAAAGTAAAAAAATTAAAAATAAAAAATAATTGAAAATCACGGCTTTACTAAACAGGCCCCAAAGTAATCTTTTTTCTGCTTCTTTAACAATTAAAGTTGCTTCAAATACTGCGCAAATATCTGTGCTATGATTTTATTTCCATCAAACAAAACGTAAAGATTGTTTTAAGTTGGATCAAATGATGGGTTCTCAACTGAAATCAAAGGCCAAGCATGTTTAATTGTAAGTACAGTTACTTGCATACAATTGTTCATTGAAGATCGATTTCATGCTTCCTTCTCATAGCTCATAAGCAGGAAGGAAAGTCTCAAAAGGCAATCTCTTCCACAACTTAAAATCTCAATTGAAACTGCTTGTTTTTTTTACTCCTCTCTATTCAAGTAGAATATATTGGGTGAGCCAGGCAGACCCCTTCTAAATTTGATCTTGAACAAAAAAGATCTCAATGTTGTGATTGTTTCTGCCAATAAATATTGGGGATGATTCATAATAGCAACTAACAGAAATTTCTAACATTACACCTAGAAGACATTTGACAAACAAACAGGCCATCATTTTCTTTCCATGGAAACTTTTACTTCCATCATATAAAATAATAATGTGTCTGTTGCAAAGAATAAGGCAAGTCATCAATCAAACAAGTTAAACATCAGCCATGAACGAACCAAATCTGTAAAATATAATCGATATCATTCCAGTAAATGGCATCATTACTATAAAACGACCTGTTCCTCCTCCTTTCTCTGTAATTCGCAATGACAAGTGTATCAGTGTTGTCTATTTTGTTCAAATGGATTGTTTGATTGAGAATCGAAGTGATGAAATTAGGGCTACTAATCAAATAACAACATGATTTACAAACGCACCTGAACTTTAGAAGGGCTTTTACTGGTAGTTTTGTGACGATTTCAGTTATCAATTCGTTGGGCAAACTGTCCGCCATTGTTGAGATTCGAAGGTGAGAGAGTGAATCTGCTTTTCTTTAGGGCTTTTGAAAACCCTAAACCCTTTTCTCTTTCCCTGATACGTAACACTTGTGTAGTGACCTAAATTAAAAACTTGCAGTAGTAATTATATTTTTTTACTAAAGTAATGTTTAATAATAGATTTAGAAATGAAATAAATAAAGATCCCTATCAATATATTCAAAAAAAACAATTGGAAATTAAATACAAGTAAAACAAATACTAATTCAAGTTTCAGAGTATTTTACACAACAGGGTTAATTCATATTCATGAGATGTGCATGTTGATAATTTTTCAAATGAACTGTAACAAAATCAATTTTAGGATCTGTTATAAATGTCATTATTTAGGAGCAAGTAATCCGAAATCATACTGCATACCAATAAACAAAGAAAGTCCAAGAATGTCTATTGCCAATTACACTAGTTTCATACCACTAGTATCTGGAGTCTCCACTTACTGAAATGGATTCTATGGGGAGAGTATATGGTGGTGAGTCATCCAAATAAGGATTATCACCTCTACCAAATTCGTTTATCTTCGAATGATTCGTGAGAGTGCCCAGGCTAGTGTCGCAAGGCATTATCTCTCACTGCTCTACAGCCTCTACCAGATTCATTATGTTCGAATAATTCGTGAGAGTGCACAGATACTGTCCAAAGGCGTTATCTCTTACTGCTCTACAGCCTCTACCAGATTCATTATGTTCGAATAATTCGTGAGTGCACAGGATAGTGTCCAAAGGCATTATCTCTGACCAATCTACAGAGGGAAAGAACCTCTTGAAGTTGACTGCAATCTTTTTATGTCCGTGAGGATCCCACCAGAGTGCATTCTACTTCTAATATAGGCCATGAACTAAATCATAATCATTCTCAACAATTCCATGTACAAATAAGAATCCCCTTCGTTACATGATTTCTTCTTCGTATAGATGGATATAAATTGGCTACCATTATTTTAACTTCCATTATATAAAATCATGTCCCCAGGCAAAGAATAAAGAAAGAATAAGGCAAGTCATCAAATGTGAAACAGCAGCCATGAATGAACCAAATCCGTAAAATATAATCAATATCATTCAAGTAAATGAATCATTACTTTAAAATAAGAGGTACAACATTCATGAAAAGCTAAAATCTGAACAAAGTTGCAATATACCGGAACTAAAGACAGAAATACTGAGAATGTTTATCATGGTATCTCTCTCCTGCAATTTTCTTGATTCCTCCAGTTCCAAGCTTTCCTTTAAAAAAATTATAAAGTCTTTGTCGAGCAACTGCTGCACTGGAAGACTAGGCTTCTTAAGACTTGATTCACTTCCTAAAGTAATACTAAGCTCTCCGCCACATGGGGAACAGCGTAAAATGCTTCCGGATTACCAGATAACCATATTCCAAGATCCTTGGCTTGTTGAGACTCTAGGTTAATTGAAAACATGCGATCATTTCTTTTAAAGAAACGAAGATCACCGGTCCTCCTGAAACCAAGAAATCGCCCGAAACCTTCATCCACATCAAAAGCGAATAGTTTGGACCAAGATTGTACAACACCGTATTCTTTCATCACCCATATTGAAACTTTGCTAACCAAGGAATCAAAATGGCCAAGACAAAGTGACTCCCCAAGCACCGAAACAGCCAAACGTGTTGGCATCCAGCCATGTGGTGGAGCTGCTGGTGGCATCATCTTACAGAATACCTCACTGCTCATATCAAAGGTCAAGATTGAAATATCATAATCAGCATCCAAATCGCCTCCGACCCAATGGACAATCCCATTGACAAAAACCTGAGATGGAAGTGGAGCAAAAGTGAAACGATGATGGGGACCAACAACATAAATTCTTCTCCAACATCCTCTGTTAAGCGAGTAAAGCTCAACCTCAGCATCTGGAAAATCGTTAATGTAAGCAATTCTAACCACCTTATAATCATTAGTTTTGGAATCAAAGCCATACCCATCAACAACCTCACGCAGGCCATGTGAATCAATGCCAATGCTGGACATTGGAAGCCTCATAGATTTTCTAATACTTGGATTCCACAAAATTAAATTATTCACCTTTTTAAACACATAATCAAAGATATTATCACTGAGACATACCAAACCATTACAAGAACCAAATATGTGCAATTGAGAAGCACAGTACAGAATTGGGTTTTCAAGTTCTATAAAACAACTGCCGTCGTAAATAATTACTGAATAACGACCTTCTTCTCCACCTCCTTCTTCGTTGGCATTAATGTAACGCCCAATGATATGTGTATCAGTGTTGTTGATTTTGTTCAAATGGATTGTTTGGTTGAGCTTTGAAGTGATGAATTTAGGGCTACTAATTAGAGAACCCCATGATTTACAAACGCACCTGAACTTGAGAAGGGCTTTCACCGGTAGTCTTGTGAGGATTTCAGCTATCAATTCTTTGGGCAAACGGTCCGCCATTGTTGAGATTCGTAGGCGAGTGAGAGAGAGAGAGAGAGAGCGAGCTTTCTCTTTAGGGGTTTCGAGAACCCTAGCAATGCTGAGACATCAACGATCGATAAGAGTGCAAGAAGTTCGAAAACCCTCACCCTTTTCTTTACCCTTTTATATATGGCAACACTTGTAGTCTTCTAGTGACCTAAATTAAATAATTAGTGATTACGCGGAGGGAAACTACCTTCGCCAGCCTTTCCCTATTAAAAAAGAAAAAATGAGCACTTGAATTAATGTATAATAATAGAATTAAGAATGAAATAAATAAAATACTATATCATATGTAACATTTTTTAAACTAATCATTATATATTTCAAATTTATAATACTTTTTTACCGATTTCATATTTTTGTTTCAAAATTTTTCTACCAAACATGTTTTTTATTATTATTCAAATCACTCTATAACAAAGCACTTATTTTATTTCCAACTAAAATAAAATGTCAAAAACAAAAAGCCAATCAAATAGAACCTTACTAATTATATGTATTTATTTATTTAATTAATATATAATAATATATTTAAGAATGAAATAAATAAAAATCCATATCATATGTAACATTTGGAAATTAAAACCAAATACAGTCAACGTTTTTATTTTCTTTTTTTTTTTTGTGTGGATGCTCAAGTCTCAAGCATCATCCTCTCAAGAAATTGTTCGCCACCCAAAATGAGTCAAGCCTTAGGCCTGACCTAATGCATCCCAAAGCACCACGACTAAATTCTTACATACTTAGTCAATCCTTGGAGTGAAATTACAATAAAGATTCAATACCTCACCTAAACACATTGACAAATAGTTTAGTTAAATTGACGTTACATTTTAGGGGCGTGCAAAAAACTAGTTAAACGATAAACAGAACCAGTAGGTTTAGTTCAATTTTTTTATGATTGGAATTGATTACGGTTTTACAAAATTTTAACCATTTATAAAAAAATTAGTTGCCATTTGAGGACTATAAGACCAAACCAAACTGAATCATCATTGTGAAAATTATATTTTTGTGACCAAAATTAAATATAATTGCTCTATAGTGACCTTAAAGTTAAAAAAAGATGAATAGTGACCAATGTTGAAACTTAATTGATTTGAAGTAACCATTTGAGGATAATTTGGTCAAAAACACTTAAAGATTTGATAAACATTTTAAAAATAAATTTTAGATGACAAATTGCCATCTAATATAAATAATAACTCATTGAATTTATCCTTGTACTCTCTCTCTCTCTCTCTCTAATCCAACGTTTTTTTTTTTCCTTTTTAATTTGCAATTTACCAATTTAAAAAATTAAGCTTTCTTTCATAAGATTATTTATTTAATTGTGGCCCACATGATTTGGACATGTGACATAATACTTGGTGGCTAAGTAAATAGATATCAATTAATATTATTTATTTTCGATCAACTTCTAATTACCTTTTTGGTAATTACTTATTGGAGAAGTGTTTTCCTTTCTTGTTTTTTATTTTGATCAAAAGTGAAATTATGTTACTAAAATGGAAAACTAGTCCTCTCTCTACCTTTATAAAAGTGCATATGCTCCATCAATTATGTACAATTAATGATACAACACGTAAAAGTTTTATGTATACAAAATGTCAAGAGAAAGAAACCAGTTTCCACCTTTACCTGTTAATCAGAATTGCAGATTAGTTCGTGGTTAAAGTATCTAGACGTTGAATTTAATCTCAACAAAGTTTGATATCATGAATAGAGGTATGTATATCTAACTATATATATTTATGCATTATAAGGATGTGAAATTAATTGAAGTTCTAAGATCTAGGGATTTATGATTATTTGTGATTAAAGTCTAATACAAATTAATTAGAGTTTTCATGTGGTATCAGAGCCTGTAGTTATGAAACTCTTTTTTTTTTTTTTTCCGATTATCCTTGCATAAATAATAAATGTAAGTTTAAATTAAAATATTCAGACACTGTTTTAATAACAGATCCGATCAAATTTTTCTAATTCATGTATAGGATTTGCGGATCTGTTTGCCTTGATCAGTTTTGTTTTATGTTATACTATGCCTCGAATTCCGAACTTATATGTGTATAACATTAGTTAAGTCTGTTGATATTTACAATATTGACCACGATGAACTTAAATTTTGGAAAAATGAATCTGGGTGATTGTGTGTGTGTGTGTATCATAATGAGACAAAACAAGCTAAAAAGAGATTGTTTATTTTGGTGTATCAGCATATAATGAAGAGACAAGTCAAAATAAATTATTATTTTCGTGCATCAGTTTATTGAATGAAAATTTTGATTTATGATTTCGCTGCACAAAACGAGGTTCTCAAATTGTAATTTTTTTTTTTTTGTTTTGTACACGATTAAATATATGATTTTTAATATACATTACAGTACATCTATGAAATTTTTGGATACTCACTAGCAATTTAATTAATTGATTTTGTATATTTTGTGTGCATAATGTGGTGAGTAACTTAATGTTGATTTTATCACTAGATAATTAAATATTCATATTATAGAAAGGTTGATAGCTATCAAAGTGGCCTAACCATAATGATTAATGGATATTAATTTTAGTGGTAGACATAATTGCAATATTTCTTGAATAATGATACTTATAATTTTTTTGTAAAATTCATGAATATTTGGTTTATTCAATTATTAGAAATAATTCCTCAAAGGAATTAATTTTCAAGTGATTAAATAAACATTAAGGGGTTGTATGTAATTTTTAATTGGGCAAATATAGGATATCCAAAGGTAACTTGTCTATTTAATTAATTAGTGCATCACCAATAAAGCTATATATAATTAAATACATCTAAGCATCATTTTTTTTGTATTTGTGGTTACCACCCAAAGGGGTACCATAGTTGTACAATGTACTTATTTATTTTTATATGTGTTTTTATCTAAAAGTATTAATGTTATGAGCATTTACCTTTTTATGATTATTTTATTGCAGTATCTCTTCGTATTTCACTGAATTCGCATGCTTCATCTGTTTCAATTCTCAATTGAACTAACTTCTCAGAATGGAATGAGCAAGTTCAGTTCAACTTAGGTGTGCTAGATCTTGATTTAACATTTTAAATTGAGAAACCTACTGCTATTACTGGTGAAAGCAGTGAAGAAGAAAAGACTTTTCATAAAGCTTGTGAGAAATTGAACAGATTTAGTATTATGTTTATGCGAATGACTATTATAAACAATATCAAAACAACTCTTCCCCAAACTAATAGTGCTAAGGAATATTTAAAAAATATTGAAGAACGTTTCCGTACTACAGATAAGTCTCTTACAGGGAAATTAATGGCTGACCTCACTACTATGCGTTTTGATGATACTCGTAGTAGGCATGAACATGTTCTTGACATGATTAATTTTGTTGCAAAATTGAAAACTTTAGGGATGAATGTGGATGAGACTTTTCTCATTCAATTTATTCTCAATTCCTTACATACTCAATATATTTCAAATTTACTATAACATTGTTACGGACAAGTGGAATGCGAATGAATTGACCAGTATGTTAGTTCAAGAAGAAGGAAGGCTTAAACAATAAGGTAATCATAATATTAATCTCATGACTCAAGAAGCTAAAAGAAATTTGAGAAAAGGCCCGGAAAAGACATTAAGCAAGCAACACCCCAAATAAAGGATTCTGATGAAGCTACTCAAAAAAAGGAACTCAAGAATGATAAGTGTCATTTTTGTAATAAATCTAGACACTTTCAGAAAGATTGCATGAAACGTAAAGAATGGTACGAAAAGAAAGGTAAGCCTTTGGCTTTTGTATGTTTTAAATCAAACTTAATTGAAGTTCCTTCTAATACTTGGTGGGTTGATTCAGGCTCTAATGTTCATATTTCCAATACGATGTAGGTATTCCTTTCAAACCAAACCATAAATCCAAATGATAATTTCTTATTCACATGGAATAGGGAGAAAATTCCAGTTGAAGCCATTGGGATATTTCGTTTAGTTTTAGATAGTGGATTTCATTTAGATTTGTTTAAAACTCTTTATGTTCCTTCAATTTTTCGTAATTTGATTTCTATTTCCAAACTTGATGTTGATGGGTTTTCATTTAAATTTGGTAATGGATGTTTCAGTTGGTTCAAAAAATCACAATTTGTTGGTTCTAGTATTCTTGTTAATAGTTTATATAAGACAAAGCTTGATGATTTATTTTCTGAAATATTTTTGACCTTGCATCATAATGTTGAAACCAAATGTAACTCAATTAATGAAAATTCATCTTTTTTGTGGCATAAAAGATTGGGTCATATATCCAGTGAAAGGTTAAAAAGATTAGTAAAAGATGGAAATCTTTGGAATCTAGATTTTATTGTATATGTGGATTGTATTAATGGTAAACAAACTAAACACACAAAGAAATGAGCCACAAGAAGTATAGAGCTTCTTGAAATTATGCATACAGACATTTGTGGACCTTTGATGTTCTATATTTTGGTGGAAAAAATATTTTATCACCTTTATAGATGATTTTTCACGTTATGGATATATCTATTTGTTGCATGAAAAATCTTAAGCAGTGAATACTCTTGAAATATACATAAATGAGGTTGAAAGGTAACTAAATAAAAAAGTGAAAATAGTAAGGTCAGATACAGGTAGTGAATATTATGGAAAGTATGATTAAACGGGTCAATGCCCTGGACCGTTTGTTAAACTCCTTGAAAAGCGTGACATTTGTGCTCAATACACTATGCCAAACACGCCACAGCAGAATGGTGTAGCTGAAAGGCGTAATTGTACTCTTATAAAAATGGTTAGGAGTATGTTAAATAATTCCTCGTTACCCATATCATTGTGGATGTATACTCTTAGAACTACTATGTATGTATTAAACAAGGTTCCTAGTAAGGCAGTTTCAAAAACTCCATTTGAACTGTGGACAGGAAGGAAACCAGTTTAAGGCACCTGCATGTTTGGGGTTGCCCAGCTGAAACTAGG